ATTTTATCGTCGTTTTTGTTGTGTTTGTGGATATGGTTTTCTTCTCTTCGGTTTTCGGAGGCAGAATCCGTCGACTTGGTCAAATTAATAATGCATTCGTAGCTTTTTTTTGCCGTCGTTTGGTCAACTGTGCATTGTAGCTGATTTTGGCATCGTTTTTTTTTTTCTATTCGCGGATCTGATTTTTTCTCTTCGCTTTCGTTATGCTGCTCGTATGCGTTTTCTTTCGCTGCGCGCGCTCCATGTTTGCGTTTTAATCACTGTTAATCGCCATTTAAAATGAATTATTGTGCTGAATTTATGTAAATTTCAGAGATCAATCTTTCTAGTTGTTAATATCTAAAATTGCTATTTGTTATCGCCCTGAATTGTTCATGTTCTCTGGCTTCTGGATTACTTGCAATTTTCTTAATTTTTCAGCAAAGTTAGAGTTACTGTTTGGCAGATCTAGACGCGGATTTTCGGTATATTTAGGTCAAAACGTTTTCCGTTCCGTTTCCCTTGCTTTTTGAAATAAAACGCTTTGCTAACGCGTTTCTGGAAACGTTTTCCTTCACAGTCAATTTTGCGAGGCTATTTTTGGATTATTTTGTTGAATTTTAGCCTCCTGAATTGAAGAGAAAATTGAGCTTTTACAAAATTTTAGAGCTTTGGGCATTTTTGGATTTGTTGTGAGAAAGTAATTCTTTTACTTAGTGCCTTTTGTCATTTGGATGATTGGAATCTCATAGTTTCGGACCTTTAAATTGTGAAATGTTGCATTAGTTTCATGTGATCTTGGTCTTTAATTTCGAAGGAAAAAGTTTCAATTTGTTTTAATAATTTAGAGCATGTTTGATATTTTATTTGAATTTAATTTTTTAATCTCAACAATAATTTTTAAATTTTAAACTTTAAAAACTGGTTTGGTATGACTGTTTTTAAAAGCTAAACTCAAGATTAACTAAAAAATATAGTATATTATCTAAAAACACAAAAAATGAGTTTTTAAATTTAAATTCACTCATGTTTTTTTCTCTCTTCTCCCTTCTCACTCCAAAACTATTCTTTCTTTTCTTCTTTCTCTCTACCTTTCTCCTTTTTTTTTTTTTTTTTTTACTTTTTTCGTCTCTCCTTTGATACGCAATCATTATTTTCTCGGTTTTTTTTTATTACTCATCTTCCTTTCTATCTCATTCGATCCTCTCACTTCTTTTTATTTTCTCCAATCATCTATTACTTTATTTCCTTCTCTCCCAACCCTCTATTTTTATATCTCTTTGTCCAGTTTAAGTTGTAAAATTTAAAATTTTTAAATCGCATACCAAACAAGTTTTTGAGTTTTAAAAAAAAAAAATTTCAAGAAAAATTCTTAAGAAATATTTTGAGAAATTATAAAAAATTTCAAATAGAATACCAAATAAACCCTTAGATTTTCAATCATAACTTATAATCGTTATCGTACCTGACGGTCCTCAACATCATGTTTTGATATAAATGATTATTCTAGATCTTAGCTTTTGAGACTTGTGTTTAGTGCCTGTGTGGCACACTCCATGAAACATTATCGAAAAATCGCATTCAAAATCTTTTGTTTTGCTGACTTCGTGTGGCTTTTGTACCTTGTAGATATGGCTCCACCAATTGAGACGGTTCAGAAAGTTGAGCCTCCTCAAAAAGTTGTTGAACCCCATGTCACCTATCATCATGATCATTCCTCACATCCGCCTCTAAATGAGAGGATACTTTCATCCATGACCAGGAGGTCTATCGCTGCTCACCCGTGGCATGACCTTGAAATCGGTAAGCAGTGTCTCTCGCGGCCATCTTCGTCGTGCTACATTTCTTTTATTGTTCTTATAACCTGTGTCTAACCTTTTCTTCTTTCTTTTTCCATTTCAATGCAGGACCTGGAGCTCCTAAGATTTTCAACTGTGTAAGTATATTGAACCATAATAACTATATGATGCTTTAAATTTTTTGATGATTTATCTATATGGCTTTGCTCAAATTTTGGATTCTCTGTAGTCTGTACTTAAGTTGAACTTATAGTGATTATATCTTGAACTGAATGACTGCCCAATTGAAAAAGGTAACTTAGGAAGTCATATTAGATTAAGTTGAGTTGATCAGCTATCCAGAATCTGGAGACATTCTTGACATTTACTCATATTTAATTTATCTTCCGGAAAATTATTGTTAACATTATTCTCTAAATAATCAGTTTCCATGTTACAATTCTAATAGTTATGGCATCAATAGTACTTATTCACAAGAGTGTTCAATTGTATTTGTCATTCTACTGACCATTGTTCTTGTGGAAATCATCCAGGTTATCGAAATCCCAAAAGGAAGCAAGGTGAAATATGAGCTTGACAAGAAAACTGGACTCATCAAGGTAAATATCTGTGCCAAGCTAATCTTCCTGGTAACTTCAGTACGTTAAGTGTGACTGCTAACGGGTGTTTTTTCTATGTGTAGGTTGACCGAATATTGTACTCATCTGTTGTCTACCCCCACAACTATGGCTTCATCCCCCGTACCCTTTGTGAGGACAATGATCCCTTGGATGTCTTGATTATTATGCAGGTATTTTTATGCTTCTTTCTGCTGCAAATGCTATATTGGAACTTTATTTCGTGAATATCGGGCAATGAAAACCTGAATATGATATCAACCTGTTGGGCACATACTACCCATGTCCTATCATTCACTCTGAGACAATCATATGCATGTCTCATTAAATAAATAATAATCATATAAAAAATTTGGGCTTAATTTTCCATATTTGTAAGGAATCGTGTTTTTGAAAGTATTGCGTTATATTTGTACGTAACTTTACACAGCTTCCAAATCCATTTGGTTTATTTTAAAGCTGAACCTCTAATCTGATTTGTTTTGACACTTGAAAAATCTTACAGGAGCCAGTTGTTCCTGGGTGCTTTCTTCGTGCCAAAGCTATTGGCCTGATGCCTATGATTGATCAGGGTGAGAAAGATGACAAGATCATTGCTGTTTGTGCTGATGATCCTGAGTACCGACACTACAATGACATCAAGGATCTCCCACCTCACCGTTTGGCTGAGATCCGGCGCTTCTTTGAGGACTACAAGAAAAATGAGAACAAAGAAGTTGCAGTTGACGACTTTCTCCCTGCAGCTACTGCCTTTGACGCAATCCAGCATTCCATGTAAGTGTCAATGCTCTCTGACCTTCGCACACTCATATGATTACCTCTTTGTCTGTGAATTAAACTGTCGATAGTCTTACAAGAATGTCGTGGATACAAGTTATGACTCCGTCTAAATTTCTTTTGATGTCAACCAGTGTCCATGTGCATAACATTACTCATTCTCGTTGGTTTGTTTAGTTCTACGAATGGAGTATAATCTTAATCTCTCTCTTTGTTTCGTTGTGATAGGAACCTCTATGCGGACTACATTGTGGAGAGCCTCAGGCGGTAGTTGTTCGTGCAAGTGATGAAACATGGTGCTATCACTACTCTTATATAGGGAACGTTATATATTCGTTTCTCTGTTATGAAAAATAACTGTATTATTTTGTTGTTAATGCAGACATTTATGCCTTATGCTCTATACTCTAGTTGGGATTGTGTCTTAAACCTTTTATATAGTGATGATCTTGACGAAAATGATAGGAAAAAGGAGCAAGGAAAATAGTCTGGGTTGATATATATTGGTTTATGCCTTTATTTTTTCATTTGGTATGTGACTCTTGAGTTGAGTAGCCTTTCTGTTTTTGTTGGAGAAACATTTTTTTTTACTTTCTTTGTGTCCATGTAACGGAGCAATTCATTTTGTAAAATGCTTAATTTCAAATGTATCATTTGTTACCAATTTCAAATTATGATTTTCCGATGAAATAATCGGTTCAAGGAAAGGCTTAAACTCTTTTGCCGAGATTGCATCTCAACATTGACCCTTTCATGTGATCCCCATCAGTGTCTTACTTGCCAACCGTGCAGGTTGAATTTGAAACCTTCCATTTGTAAGTAAAGTGGAATATTGAGGAATATCTAGTTAGTGGTCAAATGTCTCATGCCGAATGAATTCACTCAAGTTTAGATTTTATCTAAAAAAAGGGTGATTCTATTAACAACAAAACACCTACTTGTCTTCTTCAAGAGAAAAAGACAAAAAAAAAAAAAAAAAAAATCCCACTTGTAGTATGACGTGGAATCAAGTCTACCCAGATCCGTTACTTGTATCAATCCACACAACCGCAACTAGTACATCCAAGCTGTCTACAAGTTGTCTCCGTTCAACACCCTTACTCTCACCATACTAACAATGTTGTGCAAATGCACAAATTGGACGGTATAACTTTGTATGTAATCATCACGCTGTCATTGTTTTTTTTTTTTTACCCTCACGAGGGATCCAAATCACACTATCATTGTGGTATCATCCATTCATTGCAACATCCATTCATTTGTTGCAACACATTTTAGTTGGAGCGGTATCATGTCCACTCACATGAAAAAATAATACAGAGTGGACATAACAGTACTATTATATTCGTATTAATATTCATGTCCTAATTGTGAATTTATCTACTTAAATTATAACACGTGGGATGGTAGAATCGCATGTAAAGATTTGAGGTTTGGAATCTAAAACTTAAGTCGGTGATAAAACATTTTGGACTTGATACCAAATTAAGTTGCTCATTGTACGGTTTATCTGAACTTTTCATCTCCTAATGTGAAAGTATCGACGTATGAAAAAAAAAAAAAAAACCAAAAAACCATTTTTGAACTTCGATTCCAACGCCAAAGAAGGCTTGAGCCAAATTGATCAGACCTATTCTAATCACAGTCAGAGCCCACAGGTTGATATTGTGATAAACGTCCAGGTCACAGCCACGAATGTGCTTATCAACGAACTCCACGTGCTTCCATCGGAACTCTACACGTGGCAGAAACCCATCTTCAATCGTCAACATAATAAAATAAATAAAATCCTTTAAATATTCCAAACTCCAAGCTTAAAGGCATAAACCCTTCCGTTCCCATCCCGCGAAAACCCAAAACCCAAAACCCCTTTCCTTCCAAAGGGCGATGTCCTAAAACCCTAATTTCCCCAGTCCGAACCCAAATCCAAACGCCATGAGCTCCTTCACCAACACCACCAATTTCGACAACCTCATGCTCCAAACCCTAATGGGCAGGCTCCAAATCCGACCCCCCACCAACAACTCCTTCCTCTCCCAAACCCTCGAGGAGCTCCTCTTCGACGCCGCCAATCTCTCCGACGACGACGACGATGAGAACAAGACCCAGCTCGCCAAGGAAGAATCCCGCCTTGAGAAGGAGATCATCCGGGTTGTTCTCAGCGGCAAGACCGATTCCCTCAAGCCCAATTCGGGTCAGGCCGTCACGATCGGGGAGCACCACATTTGCGTTGGGTTTCATGAGGAATCGGGTTCGGAATATCGGGTTTGGGAGTGGCATGGGCATATCATGCTCTTTGATGAAGAGAACGGGTACACCCCTGAGTATATATATGGGAATTACTTTGAGAGGCTGATTGGTAAGGCTCGTGGAAATGGCGGCGGCGGAAGTGGTGGTGTTCGTGAAGAGGAGACCAAGGAGGAAGAGGAGGAAGATAAAGAGAAGGTGACCACTTTGGGGCTCAGGGAGTTGATTGATGGTGTGGATTCGGGTCAGGGTCGGATTCTTCATCGGAATATCAATGCGGGTTCTACAAGGTTGATATGAATTACCTCCTTTATTTTTCTTGTGTGTTTTCATATGATGTGCTTGTCATTGCATTGCTTTCACATTTGTTGGTGCTTTGGGTTTTTAAAGTAGTTGTGATTTCAGAAATGGTATATTGCAATGTGATTACGCTACATTTTGTGTTGGAACTTATATTTGGAGAGACTTCGGGGCTGCATAAATTGCACTTTTGTGCTCATTACCCAAATTGTTTAGCTAACTTCTCACATTGATGTTCGGAGTGAGCACAATCCTTCCTTCGAATATTAGGGTAAAGACTTTATGCCTACTGTATTTTGGAAAGATGGCACATGGGAGGGGCACATCTATTTTGTTGTTAGAAATGTTAATAATTTTGATTTTTGTTGGTTTAAAGTTTATTGTAATTTTACCAAATCAAGTTGGAAGCTCAAAAATAGATTTCACCGGCACTGTAATGAACATTTATGCTGTGGTTGGAAGAACATAGCCGTTGGTGGCTTTGCTTTCTGATAGACAATTCTAGTGATGAGAAAACGTTTGTGATAGGACTGTTCAAGATGTTGACTTAAAAGCTTAAGAAGTTTTGCATATCTTACCAGATAGGCTGAAAAAAAAAAGAAAAAAAAAAAATATGGCCAAGCCTTGATTATTTCGCGTATTATCTTGAAATTGGTTATGATATGGCTACTAGCAGCTATATGAGGAAGGCCGGCATCTCACAAGGAAGTAGAGAATGATTCTGCTACCACTTACTCATACCATCAATTCTTCACCTTATTGGAAGTCGATGTAAATCCCAACATCACACAAGGACCTAGAGGAGCTACTGCTACTCACTCTTACCATCGATTTGTTATCATGCTTGTAGTCTTAACGATATCCTGCCAGCCACCTTGAATGTGGACCCTTATGCTTGTTGAAACCAATCTGGCATAGGCTGATTTAAGACGAGGTTTAAAGTTCTCTTAGAATATAAATGTTCTCTGTCTAGATCTAGGAGACTAGGATCTTGTTTCAACTTGGGTGCTCTCCCCCTAAATACTGTTTTCTTCATCCCGTTGTCTGTAATGGATTTGAGACACATCACGTGAAAAAAAAAAGGAGTTATAGAAGTAGAGTTTAATTCTTTAGAAAATTTTGAATGATTTTTCTGAAGTCTTTCTCCGATTCCTTCACAAAGCGTTATGTAAGTCTACCTTGCATGTGCTTTTTTCCGTGTAATAAGTTTCTAACCGCATCTTCATGTTTCACTGATGTTTATAGTAAGTTGTGATTCAGAACTCCGAAATGACGGGATTTTTCTTAGGATTCTACATTCATGTCTAGCTGGGATTTAACTTTCAACCTCAGTATTTAATACCTATACGTATAAACCCAAATAAAGATATGGTAGTATGTGCTTTTGTGTATAGGATCCTGCCGATCGTGTCATTTGCAATGATCTACATGTTTAACCTGATTATCCTTCTTCTTACAGGATTAATTAAAAGAAAGACTTTTGGTTCTTAAGAAGTTTCTGATGTTAAAGAAGGAGCTGCGTTGAACTTTTCTTTTCTTTGGTACTTGGTGTGGGAATTCAGGACTGCTTATCACTTTACATGGTTGTAAGCTGTTTTCTTTTTGTTGGTTTTCGTTTGAATTTCCACTACGTAAGACGGTACAGAAGAAGGAATGTATTGTGAGACATCATTCTGTTAAAAGTAGTTTTTGATTAACTTATCAATGGACTAAAAATGGTGCATCGACTCTTTTATATTACTTGGTTGTAAATTTTAGTTATGCCTGTAAGCTGGCTGGTACAAATAATTGAGTTTCAAAGTTTCTTCATCAATGGACTTACAAATTTTGTGGGGATTTTGTGCCGTTTACTTCATCATTCTTGTATTCCGATTCGAGGTTTATCAAAACAAGGGAACTAGGCATATTTGACGTTTGGGATGGCTTGGCTTGGACAACTTACTAAACTCAAAGAATAGATGTTGAATGAAATTTGAATGTTGATGTACGTATTTTGTTCAAGTACACGTAGAAGATGGAGAAGTCATAAAGAAAACTATATCTATCATAACTCCCGTAGAAATGGCAAGATTGAGAGGGATAAGTGCTTTTGTAACTTCTCCATTTTCCACCTTCACATGAACAAGATATATGAAATCTACAAAGCTATTATTCTTCTCATTTCTTGAAATTTCATGCATATTGTCATATACCAAAATTCAAATTTATTCAACAAAACAACACAGAATTTGTAAATTCTCTCCTATTCTCTATAATTTTTTTTTTATTGTTTGGAATTTTCAATCGATTCTCCCTATATAATTTAATAGTACGTATAAATGATGAGGTTTCCATGCAACGGTTTATGAATAGACAAATGATCAACGCTTAAGTTTATTATGATGTTTTGGTTTTATTTTGCCTCACATTAATCTTGACTCCACCACTGTTCAAGTACCTGTTATATTATCTACATTATGGGATGATGAGTGAGTTAAGCTTGATAATGGGCTAATCATAATAATTTGGTTCGAATTCACTTTTAGCGATAATCAAACCTAAGATTTTACTTACAAGTGAAAATGAATATCAATAGACCGTAATACTAAGTGGTAAAAGGTAACAAAATTTTTTAAGAGGTCTTAGGTTTCAATCTCATGGATGGCAGGTTCTTAACCAATTTATTCTCTTACCCCTTAGTGTAAATATGTTGTTGCATAAAAAAAAAAGTTAGCAAATTCAAAGGTATTCAACCAAAATTCTAAATAAATTCATGAAACTCTATGGATACTCACCCAATGTGTTGAAAGAGTTTATAAAACTCCACACAAATCTAAGTGTATTTAGCGGAGTAGGATTCTCTCTCCTCCTATTTCCATCATATTCTTCCCCCTCCTCTCACAAATTGTTTTTTGTCTTCTTCTGACTATTAAAAATTAACACAACACGTTAACGTGGCTTAACTGTAACCGTTCAAATAAGAGGGGAAGGATAGGGAGGAAGACTAGGAAGGGAAAGAATCTTACTCCATGTTCAATATGATCTTTAAATAATTCATAAAACTTCATGTGTAGTCAATTAGGTAAAAATGTTAGGGATTTTTATGAATTTGGAGGGATTATATAATGTATTTTAGGTTTTCGGAAATCAAGCCTCTCCCTCTTAACATTTTGAATGATTTTAGTCGGGATATGAGAGCACTCATCTTGGATGGGCTTACTACTTAGATGATTTCAGCAGTTATCTGCTCTGCTCTGCTCTTGATTCGCATAGACATTTAGGAACTATTGTCCTAGGTGCTAGGGTTACGAACTTATAATCTATGATGATCTAGTCGATTAGGAAATAATCGAGTTAAGAGTTGTAGCTATGGGTGCTACAGATGGTTTAAAGAGAGAAATAAAAGTGATTGACACCGAAGCTCCTCTAAGTGTTTCAGTCGGCAGAACAACTCTAAAACAAATTTTCGAGCCTTTTTTCACGTTTGTCTGGGTCTGGAGAAAGCTGCAATCATGAGGATTTTCCTAATCCTCCCTCCCGGATTCAATTGAAAAATATAAAAATTTGTACAAGTTATCCTTTCCGTTCTCCATTAAAACTCCTTCAAACTCCGTTAATCGGTCTGACCACGACTCCAGTAAATCCAACCGCCACCACATGTCCAAATCAATCCAACGGATGCCCAATCATACACGTCACCGATCCTCATGAAAACCAATCACCCAATCACAACTAACCACCCCTCACTATATAAACAATTCGAACTACCAGCACCTCCACCAAAATCCCTTAATCCACTCCCTCTCCCCGCACAAATCCGTTTCAACTTCCCTTCGAGTCCGTTCGCACAACAAACCGCCCGAAATGGCGCCGACGAAGGCCGAGAAGAAGCCGGTGGCGGAGAAGGCACCGGCGGGGGAGAAGAAGCCGACGAAGGCGGAGAAGCAGATCCCGAAGGAAGGCGGAGGAAGCGTGGAAATGAAGAAGAAGAAGAAGGTAAAGAAATCGACGGAGACGTACAAGATCTACATCTTCAAGGTGCTGAAGCAGGTCCACCCGGACATCGGGATATCCAGCAAGGCCATGGGGATCATGAACAGCTTCATCAACGACATCTTCGAGAAGCTCGCGCAGGAGGCGTCGCGTTTGGCCAGGTACAATAAGAAGCCGACGATCACGTCGAGGGAGATCCAGACCGCCGTCAGGTTGGTGCTTCCTGGTGAGCTCGCCAAACACGCCGTTTCCGAGGGCACCAAGGCCGTTACCAAGTTTACCAGTTGTTAATTTTTCATTCATTTTTTGCGATTTTTTTGTTTCTTAATATTATTTTCGTCGTGAATAATATGCATGCGGTTGTATGGAATTGGTTTTGGATTTTTCCAGATGACGAATCTTGAGTAGTTCTGTTTATATAAATTTATTCGGTTTTGATGAATCAGTGAAATAGTGAGCAATCCGCAGTTCCGCACCGTTGTGGGATCGAAATCTTTAATAATTTGCAGATTTCAGTTGGTGAAAAAGGAATACACATTTTCCTGATGGTTGGCGGATTGATGATTCTAATTACGTTCCATTCTTTTGGTTTTTTAAATAAACTATATTATTTATGTGGAAAAGAGGGCTAAGCCTCACAATGAAATTGTAAAAATGTGGTTCGTTTGGCTTTTGACACTAAACCTTATTGCAAAGTGGTTAATCTGATCATCTTCTTAGTATGATGCTTCAATCATGGCCCATTGAGATGTTTCTCTACAGTGTCTTCATGAAACGCTATCGTGTGCTTGCCAAGGTTGCACATACAAAATTTTACTTTGTTTTTAGTAGAAGCAGTTTTACGAAAACTAGAAATATAGCCAACACGTTGTTGCGGGATTAGAAACTTTATGGAAAAATATGTTTCAAATCTATAATATATTGTTACAAAATGTTAATGTTATCTACATTGAAAGATGTTTGAGCTTTTTAAAAGAATTTTTACATGAAGAGTATAAAGTGGGTGAATGAACGCTCTTGGAATTCTTTGAACCACTCTATGAATATAGCATTACCTGTGAATGCTTGATTGTGTAACAAAAATTAGTAAAAAATTGTAATATATGAAACTTTCATATGTATAATTCAAACTTCTACACATTTATCCGTACCTTACCAATTGTTAGAAATTGCTAACATAACAATTGGTATCACATAATTGGTATGCTATTAACATAATGAATTCCGTGAAGCAAAAAAATGATATGCAATTTCAATTTACGATGCTAAAGAAGCTCTATAAGAGTAGCCGGGTCCTCTGTGCTTTATCCATCAAAGGCATTGCAACTGTAGATCTTGGAAACTATAAAAATTCATCCAGTCAAGAGACAAAATTCAATAGTTATAGGTAAGGTGAATATGGAACCACAAATGTAAGATATACTTGACAAATTTACAAATTCATTACAATTTCATAAAAAAATACTAAAACTCAAGATCTTAAATTCATAAAATATCCAAAATTTGATAAGTTTGTCAAAATAAGTATTCATCACAACAATAGCACTGAAATTGAGTTCTTTTGTTTGCCAACATTTTTCCAGCAACCAAACAGATGAAAGTATAGATGATGAAACAATCAATTCAATCAAAGACATTGAATTCAATCTCTATGACAACACAGAAGACAAACAATTGATGTCGTTGTAGGTCATTTTAAACGAAACGAAGAACGTTGTCTTACATAGTTGGACGCAGGTTGCTGATACAAAATCTATCTATGTATCTCGCAAAACATTACGGAAGTAGTAAAAAACAATCCTCACAGATGACAGTAAAATAATAAGAAGGCAAACTTGTACCAAACGTACAAACAGAACAAATACATATTAAGGCGAAAATAACCAAGAATAAAAAGATGAGGCTTTTCAAAGCCTACCAAATAGAATAACCAAGGAATTTTCCAAAGCATTAAGTGATTTTTTGTAACCCTTCTTCGTAATTCTACAAAAAAGCACATGAATAACTATATAAGCTCCTAATAAAAGCTAAAAAGCTGATATAAATTGAAATTAAAAAAACAAAAAAAAACAAAATTAGCACAAATTGAATGATTCAAATATCTGTATATCTATAAAGTAATGATAGTGATTTTTTTCTATTTGTCTTTACTATAGACTAATTCAAAGATCTGTTCTTCTTGCATATCTAATGTGGTCAATGCCGGTAGCAAATAAAACCATCCGTTCGAATCCTAAACCAAAGCCACAATGTTTGATGGTCCCAAAGCGCGGCAAGTCAACGTGCCACTCATACGGCTCAGCAGGTAGACCCATTTCCTCAATCCTGCAATAACACATCCATCGCACAATACAAACATTAGTCAGTTCATTCAAATATTATACAATACTATCCACTCGGAAGTATGGGAGAAAAATTGTGGAGGAGATGACTCCACTGGAAAGAATAATAATAATAATAATAATAACAACAACAATAATGATAGATAAAGTCACTAAAACATACAAAAACCGAATAATACCTGCTTATAACAACATCGTAATGCTCTTTCCTTTACCTTCTTCCAATCAACTCTCCACATGAAATATAAGAAAACCGTAATAGGTAATCAAAAGATACACAATGCTCAAGTATACAACAGAGCATTGAACTCAACGGTTCAAAGTTCAAAGCATAATACCCATAGCAGCCACTGTCTTTAAATCATCGTTGAGCTTTCTATGGAATGCTTTGACCCCTTTATGATAGTTGTAAACAGTAACAGGCTTTTGAAATAATACCTCCGTCAGGTATCTGCATAAAATCAGAACAACGAATCGATAAGCTCTATTTAATCAGTAACCATAATAAGAAAAACCAGTAGAATAATTCTAAGGGATTACCTTTCGTGCTCAGATGCCAAATCAATCCCCCACTCTACATGGTTCTCAAACTTCTTACACTTTTTCACATCATCAATTAGTAAATCCACTGTTTCTGTATAAGCAATCCGTTTAAAGGGTGTTTTAGCAAGCATTGTTAGACGATCAATGCAAGTTTTATGAAATTATTGATTGTTTTTCATATTTAATTTTCACAAAAACTTGCTACCACCTGAGAAAAAATCATTTGCAACACAACATGAAACACCAAGTCATCCAACACCATCTAAAACCATAAAACAACATAACAAAGACACCAAAATCTAAAAAAAATCCCACATATTCGACTTTCACACTATAGAAAACACAACTTCACAATATTTTAAAAAAAAATTGTTGCAGAAAATGCTAAAAGGAAAAGCTGAAATTGTTTACCTTGAGCATAAACGGCTTCGAAGCTGCACACAGAAACCCCTAAAAATGAAGAGCAAAGTGTCCTGAAGAAAAAAAAAAAAAAAAAAAGAAGCAAATTATACAACCAAACAATAGATCTAAGGATATAAACAAAACAACCAAAATTACAAAAACTAAATTCCAAAAAATATAGAGCAACGTGTTCTGAAACGAAAAACACAAACAAATCATACACCCAAATTTCAGATCTAATGATATAAAACACCCAGAATTAGGAAAAAAATTCATACGAAAATTCCACTTGAACATGGAAAACTACAAAATAAATTAAAACAACAATACTATAAGAGTAAACAGTCGATTTACCCCCTGAACTTTCACCTAACTTTCAATTTCCCCCCTGAACTTTTCTATTGGAAAATTAAGGACTCAAACTAATTTTTTTAGCAAATTTGCCCCCTACCATTAGTTTTTCATATATTCCATCCATGTTTCTGTCAAGTGAGACCATGTGCACAACATGTGAGGCTAGTTAAGTCAATTCACTCTTAAAAATGATTAAAAAACTGAAAAAAAAAAAGAAAAAAAACTTTCCCTCTAATATTTCCCGCTAATTCTTATCGTCAATTATATTTTTCCCTCTCATTCCTATGCATGAGAAATGACTTATGGTGTTATCATCTTCATAAGTAACAAAGTTCATCTTTTTCTTGAAGCATGTACTACCATTTTTATTTTCTCTAACAAATTAATAATTTGACAAATGCTCATAGTGTTATTGTCTCCAAAGCAGTGCATTAATATAAGAAACGTGTTCATAATACTCATAAAAAAATGCTCAAGATAATTACATATTTTTTCATAATGTCATAATAATCCTAATACAATTCCACAAAATGATCCTTAAGAAGTTGGAAAACATAACACCCTCAACCTTACTCAGCCATCAGAAATGAAAATAGGTTTAGGTACAAGATTCCAACCAAACGAGGAAGGCCATGGAAAGTGTAGTTGATATCCACGTGTCATGTGCATTTCAAGCAGAATGTTTGTGCTCTTGCTTTGATAACTAAAACCTTATTTTGCTTGTGTTTGGTTAACTGGAATGCCCATATTTTGTAATCGAGATTCTATGAGTTATATACCTTATGGATGGTAAAATCTCTTATGCTTTCCAACTTCTTAAGGATCATTTTGTGAAATTGTATTGGGATTATTATGATATTATGAAAAGTATGTAATTATCTTGAGCCTTTTTTATGAGTATTATGAACATGTTTCTTATATTAATGCACTGCTTTGGAGACAATAACACCATAAGCATTTGTCAAATTATTAATTTGTTAGAGAAAATAAAAATGGTAGTACATGCTTCAAGAAAAAGACTAACTTAGCTACTTATGAAGACAATAACACCATATGTCATTTCTCATGCATAGGAATGAGAAGGAAAAATAAATTTGAGGATAGGAATTAGCGGGAAAAAATAAAGGGAAATTTTTGTTTTTTTATTTATATTCAGTTTTTTAATTATTTTTAAGAGTAAAATGACTTAATTACCTTCACATGTTGTGCACATGGTCTCACTTAACAAACACATGGATGGAATATATGAAAAACTAGTAGGGGGCAAATCAGCTAAAAAAATTAGTTTGAATCCTTAATTTTCCAATAGAAAAGTTTAGGGAGAAAATATAAAACCAGGTGAAAGTTTAGGGGTAAATCGACAGTTAAAAAACTCACCACCAAATGGAGGCGGACCTTGGAGGTAACAAATCCACCCAGATAAAATTAAAAAACCAATAAAATCGGTACTGACCCAGGGGTTTAAACGCAAGATGCAGCAACTATTTATTTTTCCAATGGTTTTAAAAGCAAGAAATTTACACAGATAATTTGGCTAAGAAAAATGAGAAAGATGAGGAGATTGAAAACAAATTAAAAGAGGGCTTGAGAGAGAAAGAAAGGCAGGCGGAAAAACAATGAAAATGAGGAGAGAGAAAGACAGAAACCAAAGCCAAAAAGAAGGGAAAATTTTTAGGTGTACCCTCACTCATTAATTTTTTTTTGGTGTACAAAAAGTGAGGGTGCACCAAATTTTTTTGGTATTTTTTTGGTGTACCCTCACCATTATGAGTGAGGGTACACCAAAAAAATTTGGTGTGCCGGGTACACCGAAAAATTGCTCAAAAAGAAGGAAGGGTCAAGAACTTATGGAATCAAACCTATACGTCAACATCCTAGAGGAGCAGGCCGACGCATGGATATCAGGGACAAACACGTAGTTCCAGTGTGATACAAAGAAAGAAAGCTGGAAACTGAGAGGCAGATTCGTCATTTCACTGTTGATGAACAATGCTCCCTCACAAGATGAACAGTGATTTTCTGCTGGCTTTTAGTAAATAGTCATGTTTGTGAGCAAAAGTATTTTTTAGAGAAACCGTCAATATCAGCATGACATAGGCTGGCTAGACCAATGTGAAAAGCTACAGAGAACAAATATTATCTATACTAAAGAGGAGATGGTGGGTTACTAATAATATGGTTAAATTCATCTTTGACGAGAATTGAACTTAAGACTTACAAATTAAAAAGAATACCAATAAACTTTAGTATTAAGTGACACTTTCGTGATTTAAATCACAAAATAAAAATAAACAAAAAAATTAAATCATGAAAAAAATATAATACAAAAAATAAAACCACAAAATAATACGAAAATTCGTGATTTAAATCACAAAATAAAAATAATACGAAAAATAAAAACATAAAAAATACGCTAGAAGGAGGGTTCGAACCTCCGACCTTGTGGTTAACAGCCACACGCTCTAACCAGCTGAGCTATTCCAGCTCTCTGATATGATGTTGGAACTTTTTACTTTTTAATTTTATTATTCGATTGCTCAATCCAATTCATTGTCTTTACAAGCTCTCACCGACATTTAGTTGGCAAACCTTATCGAAACGCCCAACGATTCTTTCTACCGTACAACAAATGTATGGATCATTTGCAGATTCAATGCCATCATTCTGTACTCTAGGAGGGAAAGATGATCCCGCCTCGTCTCGTGGTTAAAACAGCTAACGTATAACATACTGAATTGCTAGCTAATTGTGAGACTTAACTCACTCTCCACCTCTTTAGTGTAGATAATGTCATTTGTTCGAAAAAAACATACTGCATTGCTGTATGGTAAATTTTTCCCACTCAAGCATCATGAAGCAGATGCTCTCAAAGTACCTAGTAAGATGTAAGTGCAAAAAAACACCAAAGCTAAGCAATAGTTATATGAGGGGAAATGATTGATACAAACTCTTTTTCTCCTCCGCCACATCCCTTTTTTTTTTTTTCCCCTTGGCAATTGAATTGAACAAATTAAAGGAAAATCAAGGACCACAATTAACAAGGGTGTAGAAAGTTGAAAAAAAAGCGTGCAGAAACCACTCTCACTTACATAAGAAAAACTAACGAAGAGTCCTAAAAAACTTTATGTTTTAACGAAAATGACAAGATAAAGGTGTAAGTAAATGGAGAGACCTTTCAAGGTAAAAATGTCATTTTCGTTAAAAGTGAACAATACGAGTGTTTCATTAAGATTCCTTGTAAAATATCTCCAACTGCGCCATTGCAAAAGGCGAAAATTTAGAAGTCGGGTGAATTTCATTTCATATGAAACACAGATGTTCTAAGCGGATACTGAAACAGAGATTACAAGAGTCTTAAGTCCTAGTGGGATAACGAGGGAGATAACGACACATGAAGGCATCCTACTAACCATGTACAGACATGGAGACTCCATAGAAAGGTACTACCATAGACACTGCTAATTAGATCAGTTATGCCTTCTTAGGGGACTTGGTGGCAGCTTTGACGGGCGACTTGGGCTCCTTCGCAACCCTCTCATGCTTCTTTGGCAGAAGCACAGGGTTGATGTTGGGAAGCACACCACCATGAGCAATTGTCACACCCTTCAGGAGCTTTCCGAGTTCTTCATCGTTCCTCACGGCCAATAGCACATGCCTTGGGATAATGCGATTCTTCTTGTTGTCTCTTGCAGCATTTCCAGCCAGTTCCAAAACCTAACCAAATCACGTCATCACGATTAACACCAGTTCCTAACCAAATCATACGGCATATACTTGAACCCATTTGGCCGCTAATCAAAGAGATTGGGAATAAATTTGGGTTACCGGCTGTTATAGGACAATTATAAACTTGAAATAAGTAAATCAACACCAACCACATGATCAACACTAATTTTCATTGGAAACGTCTTAAATGCCCCATATATACCACTTAAAACTACACGATTAACACGTGTTGATCGACAGCCTCCAATCGAATTGATTCATCCTCAGAATGCAAAATTCTTATTGTTGATCCTGTCGATTGTGCCAATCGCGTTGTTTTATATGGTAATATACAGGAGGATTTGAGGCATGTCACATGTTACACTCCGTGTGGATCGTGTTGATTTTCTGATTTCAGCAAAAGAGATTTATAAAACTGTCCTATAACGGCCAACATTACAAAAAAAATATACCCAAGAAGACAATTTTAGAAACTTGAATTCTGAATTGAGGGAATGCAAACCAATGATCATAGGATAAACTACCAACCTCAGAAATCACATGCAGGAGCTCATCTATCTAACAGAAGTTAAGCCATGATTTAGAAAACCATGATTTCCTATTTCCTATTTCCATCTTTTTCTTACCGACCAAACAGATCCCAACAGTTAACAAAAAGCAAAACCCTTTTCACCAAAAATAAAAGCACAATTTGGTTTTCGTCACTAAATAATTTCATATTTTGGCATACGTCCATGTACATTTCATTTTCTAGCTGAGGTCAACAGAAACGATTTTCCCCTGCAATTAAAATCAATACCACTTGCTTAAATTTCACCTCTTTGACATGCACAAAATGCAACTAAAATCAATACTACTTGCATAAATTTCCCTTTGTCGACATGCACGAAATGTTGATTGACCCAATCCTCATATCGAAAATACTCTGTGATTCAAAAATATAATAGCAAAAACCCTAAGCAACTGATCGGCTAATGCAGAGACATAGAGGAAGCTGAGATTACCTCAGCAGCAAGGTACTCGAGCACAGCAGCCAGATAAACCGGAGCTCCGGTTCCGATTCGCTGAGCGTATCGGCCATGCTTCAAGTACCGGCCGATACGTCCGACCGGGAACTGCAGACCAGCTCTCACAGACCGGGTAACCGGTTTTTTCTTGGGACCGCCGGCTCTCCTCCCTCCTGCGCCTTTCTTGAACTTCCCACCGGCTTCCATCACCCTGCCTCCGCACTGGGATCAACTTCTAAACCGACCTTCCCGAGAAACAAACAGAAAATAATTAAATAAAATGCAGAAGTGAAATTTTGTGCACATGGAGCTTCAGTGAATGGGGCAGGTGGGATATACACTGGGTTAGGTAAGAGCACTAACTATGGTTTGGATATCGGCCGTTGGATTGGCTCAGATGGACGGTTGTAAGAAGCTGAGTTCGTAAATTGGGCTGACTATTGTTGGCGTTTACTTTCTTATACCAAAGTTCAAAACCCTTTTCAAATAAATTACGACATGTATTGGCAAATAGAAAAAGGCATATTGTAGATTTGTCTCCCGAATTTGTATAGAGATGTTAATTTCTTCTTTGAATTTTAATTTTACCCCATTATCTCTGAATAATTATAATTAACCAATTTCTTGAACTTCAATTTTAACCGATTATTCTCCTAAACTTTTATAAATAGTCAATTCTCCCTTTGACACTAGATTTAAAAGTTTTCATTCAATTTTCCTTCCATTTTGATCACTCAAATAACGCATGACAACTGTATGAGGGCAAAAATAATGGAAACTTGATGGATGAAAATTTTTAAAATCTAATGTTGGGGGAATTAGCTATTTATAACATTTTTAAGGGGGTAATTGTCACATCCTCGTTCGGACGGGACCACTTCCCGGACCCGACTCCACCATAGCACGATATTGTCCGCTTTGGGCCCCCAGCACACCCTCACGGTTTTGTTTCTGGGAACTCACACGAGAACTTCCCAGTGGATCACCCATCATGGGAATGCTCTAGCGCGCTACTCGCTTAACTTCGGAGTTCCGATGAAACACGAAGCCTTTGAGCTCCCAAAAGGCCTTGTGCTAGGTATAGATGGGAATATACATATAATGATCACTCCCCTGGGCGATGTGGGATCTTACAGTCCACCCCCTTAGGGGCCCGACGTCCTCGTCGGCAAAACACGTGACCAGGGTTAGACTCTGATACCAAATTGTCACATCCCGCCCGGGGCCCCCACCATAATCCGGGCCCGCTCTACCACCGTAGCACAATATTGTCCGCTTTGGGCACCGACCACGCCCTCACGGTTTTGTTTTTGGGAACTCACACGAGAACTTCCCGATGGGTCACCCATCCTAGGAGTGCTCTCCGCGTTACTCGCTTAACTTCGGAGTTCCCATAGAACCCGAAGCCAGTGAGGTCCCAAAAGGCTTCATGCTAGGTAGATATGAGAATATACATATAAGGATCACTTTCCTGGACGATGTCGGTTGTTACAGTAATTGGTTAAAGTTAAAAGGAGGAAATTGGCTAATTATAAGATTTTAAAAAGATAATCAGCTAAAATTAAAGTTTAAGGAAAAATTGATGACTCTAGGCTGCGTTTTTTTTTTTTTTTTTTTCGTTGGGGGGGGGGGAGAAATGTGTGTGTGGTTTGTCAAAGAAAAAACAATTGGGCCCGTTGTTCACTCACAATAATTAAGGTAGTTTGTGTGCGTCCCATAATTAAAGTAGCTTAGGGTATCGTTTGGTATGCAGACGAGACGGGACGGAATGTGATGGGACGGGACGAGACGGGACATGACGGAACGGAACGGAGCGGGAGCAAAGATGCCCTCGGATGGAAACAAGGAGGAAGAAGAAGGAGACGGAGAGGTTATAATTTTGTGTTCCACGGATGTGGAACGAGTCGTTCCAGGGGGGGTGAGGTGGAACGAAAATTCACCTAAAACTCGTCCCGTGGAACAACTCGTTCCACCCATTTTAGGCGCACCAAACGTGGGACGGAACGCCTTGTCCCACTCTGTTCTGTCCCGTCCCACGTACCAAACGGTACCTAGAGTAATGTAGCTAATTTTTTTAATGTGAGTGTCATTTGATACCACCAAATTATACTAGGTTTTTTTTTTTATTTTTTTTTATTTTTTATTTTTATATTTATCTATTTATTATTATTATTATTGAAACCAAATGATACTAATGTAATGGGTAAACGATACAGTTATTCATGAACCTTGGGTATTGTACTAATAGAGAATATTGAGACAAATTCCTCTGGTCTGGTCATTTGATATCAACTATCAATATGTCATTTATATTATCGATCGTATCGATACTTCAATTACATAGTTCTTCATATGTTTGATCATGGAATTCTATATTTCAGGTAACTAACGGACTATTCAAACAATTTGACCTAACTTTTTTTTTTTTCTCTTTCTATTTGTGTGAACTTATAAAACCATATCATATTTGTGACAATACACTTAAAAGTTACTTGATAAATACAACATTTTTAATGCTTATTTTATTCTTCAACAAATGCGAACCTTTGTTACATACGTTTTCATAAACATGAAATTAATTTGTCCTCTAACTTTTATGATTTAGAATTACACTGTTTAAACGTCTGGTATTAATGATCGAAGTAACATTATTGTTAAAATTTGTGATTAAATAACTAGATAGTGTTGTTTAGCGATTCAAATTTAATTGTCACTTTATATATATAGTCAGCATCCTAAAATAGTGAAATTTTCAAATATTGCCAAAACGCCCTTTTATAGTTAGGGATGTCAAAATAAAATAATTTTATGAAATAGGGATAAAATGGTAAAATTGAGAACATTTCAATTTAGAAATAGAAAAATAAATAAACAAAAAAGGAAGCCTTTTCGTGCAAACAGCCGTACACCTTTCCATAAATATCTGCAGAAAAATGAAAAGGACAATACGTTAGTTGACCCGGCCCAACCCAATTAAAAATCTCCCACGACCGACTGAATGACCCGCAGTTCGCAGTGGACACGTGTACGTCCATGATCTGCTGGCCGTGGACCCATTGACGCAAAGTGTTACTGTCTTCCTCTCCTCCTTATATACAAACAAGGAAGAGTCCCAAAATTCCATCCATTCTGATCTCCATTTCTGCGATCTCTGAATCTCCTGTTGACTTTGACCCACCACCACATTCTGCCGTTCCTCCTTTCTCCGCCATGCTCCGCCGCTAAAACCCCCGATTTCACGACGACCCAGAAGCCGGTTTTCTCAGATTTCGCAGCTCTGGTTCACGATCTGGGGCGGTTTTGCTGCGACTTTCGGGTTTAGGGGTTTCGAAGGGCATACGATAATGCCTTCGGTGACCCCTCACCTCCTCCTACGACCCTCGGTCCCTAACTTGACTTCCTTCCAGAGCGGCTCTTGCTCTCATCGTCTGAAACGTCTCGAAAAAGGTGATCGGCGCGGTAATCTTAGTTAACATTCGGTTTTAATCTCACTTGGGTTCGTTTATCTTGTGGTTCTTGCTCAGCTTCCCAGTTTGTAGCAAAGGTTAGAGAGTTTTCGTCGAGATTTCTTCGAGAAATCTGAGGTTTTAGGGTTCGAAGAACTTTTTGTTAAGGCTTTAAGAAATTTGGAATCGTTTTGTTAGATCTTGGTGCGAAGGCTTCTTTGCTGTTAACTTTATTCGAGGTAATTAATTTTATGAATTTAATTTTTATTTATGTTGATTGGTATTGTTTTTATTTAGGTTCAGATTATGAGGCAGCTGGATATTTTTGGATTATATATATGTAGTTATTTGTAGTTTATTTATGATTTGGTGAACTGTGTTGATTTGATTTCACCGATGATGTTTGATGTTGTTAAAATGTGGATTTTGGCATTTTGTAGAATTTGTAATTGTAGATGGACATAAGCTTTCCTCGTGGGAAATCGGTGTTGCGAAATGTAGACAGTTTGCAAGGTTTGCAGCCCTCTGTGAACCAAGAGCAAATTCGTACTAGTTTGCTTGAAGATTATTCGGTAAGCGGTCTTGTAAGTGCTGTTGGCGAGTCCTTGAATATCAGCGTTGGAGAAGACTCGATTGATGTTAAAGATGTTGGAAAAGAGTCGACTGATGTCAAAGATGTTGGAAAAGAGTCGAGTATCGATGTTAAAGGTGTTGGAAGAGAGTCGATTGATGTCAAACATGTTGGAAAAGAGTCGATTGATGTCAAACGTATTGGAAAAGAGTCGATTGATGTCAAACATGTTGGAGAAGTGGAACTTGCTTCAGATGGGTATAATACTGTCGGTGTGGAGAAGAGAAACACACATGAAGATCCTGATGCACAGCAGGGAAAAGTCACTCGAAAATGCTTGAACAAGTGTGCAACCTTTCCTAATCCTACTGGTGTGCTCTCTCCTATTGCCTCTGCAAGCATAGTAAAGGAGGGACCTAAAGAAGCACTATGCGGGGATGAACACCATCACCAAGCCTGCTTGCGCTCGGTGTCTTTGCCTGTAAGTTATCTATATGCTTACTGGAAGAGCCTATTGTCCCCAGAGTTGTGCACTTTATTCCCCCTAATACTATGTTTTCTCTCTTGGATATCCCGTTAATCATTACCACTTTTGTTTTCAGTTGATATACTTAAGGAACCTGTTGTTATTGTAATGAGCTCATAGCCTTACGCGGACTATGCCTAGCTTGATATACAGCACATCAAACTAAATGGTGCATGTGGTTTAGAGTTTCCGGTCATGCTCCCCCTCTTGGCTCCACTTCAAGTGTGGGAGGCGGAATGTGTTTGTTTCTTTGTGTTTTAGCGAACGTTCATTTTTATCCTGTTCATTATGCCTTGTCCTTGATGTTGGATGGTTGCTCTGTAGTATATCATGCAAGGTATAGAAGCGGCATATTTTTTTTGTGCATCTCCTTTATTAGGTTATCCAGAAAATATAGACGTAAAATTTAGTGTAATTATATTTATGCATTAATGTACAACAACGTAATTTTGGCAAGTGTAAAATAGGTGGCAGAGTAGTATGCTGTCTTCTAGTTTTGGAATGATTGAACTGGCTACTTCAAAAGAAATGTTGTGATAGTCTAGTTTCTGATATTGTGCTCACTACGTAGGTCTTATGGTTCTTAATGCCTTGTGCAGGCTCCTTCGAAGCTACTTTCTGCTCTGAAAGGTAGCCGGGAGAAAGAGGGCTTATCACCCGGGAAACTTTCTGTCACTTGGGCTCCTGATGTGTACGATCCGCCTGCTACATCAATGTCGCACACAGTTACAGGCAAGAAACAGCAGAAGTCAAAGAACAAGAAGAATTGGAGGAAAGATGGAAAGAAGGGGCAAAAGAGCAGCTCTTCACGAGGAAAAGATAAGAAGCAATATCGCAAATCTGGGGCTTCTGAGAGGTGTCACAGATCTCTGGATCCCCGTGAAACATTGGTCGACACAAACAATGGTTTTGGTGAGCTTGTGGTGGGCAGCCCAGACCAGCATTCTTATTGTGGGAGCTCCTTCTTGAAAAATTCGCTCACTAACGTGCATTACCCAGTTGCAGAAGCATTGTAAGCAAACGTAATATCACATCCTACGCTGTGTGCATAAATAAGTCACTCGAGACAATGTTATGTTTATGAGTGTTTGAGAAAACTTGGAACAATGTGCTACTCTATTTGCACCCAGTGTGGTTATTTCTTTATATATTGTATTGTTGCTATGCTTCTTTCAGAGCAGCGTTTTGTAATTAGTATTGCCGTGTTTGTGGCACGCATTTCTACTGTGAACCGGCTTTTCGCTCGCAGAATGCTATCGTATTTGGTTGGCCCGATTATGATTTGTTAATTTTCTGCTTGGATTTTGTCTGCGTACTCTCCGTCAAGGGTTTATGAATTCATACATCAATAGCATCGTGGAACCCTAATTTATGTGGAAGTTCAGTTATGTTTGCTGTGCTTGGCGACGTTTTCATTTTGTAAGGTTGTGTTAAAGGCCATATAAATTGAGCTGGTGTTCTAGACCAATGGTTAAATTGAACATGGAATTGAAGAGTTAACAGCCTGAATAATCTCATTTGAAATTCCAGTTGGGGTTGCACAATGACGAAATGAGCACTTTATGTTGTGTACTCGGCATTAATTTTAACATAATCGTAACTTAGGTCACAACCCCATGCTTGACCTCGTCCCGGGCCATCACCTGTTCAAAAGTAAAGGGCATATCAAACACGAAAGATGTACAAAAATAGTTGAGTTTGCAGGTTTAGTAATCATGGTTCTAACTGAATATCTGACTTGAATCTCCTCCAAATGTTTAACTTACCTACGGATACACTAATTACAACTGTGCCGTGGATCTCACCAGCCTTCTTGAGGTAGTTACTAGCCGAACTCCTGAAAGAAATATAGCTAGTCAAACTACTAGGTTTAGGGTCGATCTCCTCGGGGAGGAGAAAGATGACGGGCTGAAAGGGAAATGTCCTTGACACAGAGCAAAACGATTTTGTTACCTGTCAAATAATTGTGGCTCCCCACCATCCATGAGCAGAATATCCCCTAGTAATACTTGGAGCTTGCTTTGGTCGAAAGGTATCCCTGCATAGCCTGCAGCAGCAGCGATGCGCCCCCAGTTTGGGTCTCTGCCATATATTGCAGCCTGATTGACATTTGGGAATTAAATTTAGTATTTGGTACACATGAGCATCAAAAAGGTAGGCAGAGTTCGGATATCATGCCTTTACTAGTGAAGAAGATGCCACCGACCGTGCTATTTTTGCTGCTTCAGCCTCATTGTCTGCACCAGTCACTGTGACCTGCACATCAAAGTCTGGATTAGCAAACATATCTTTGAAATCATATATGAAATACCTCAATTTCATCATCCTCAAAAATCAAAGTGCAAACAATTAGCATAGTCTCGTACTTAACCAGATCCCACACTGAGCACTTTACAATACTACGTCATACTTGTGAGATTAAAGAACAATTTGACTTTAACTTGAAAAATAAAATTAGAAAAACAGTGGAAATTAGCAATCTGGAATAAGGATGCAGACCTCAATTAAGCAGGTTGCTCCTTCTCCGTCCCAAGCAATTGATTTGGCAAGACCTTGCATTACCTACAAAATGACACAACAATTGCGATCCTAAAAATTGGGTCTAGACCACATACAACAGCTCAAATGGAAAACACAACTTATTTTTTCCATTTAATTCCTGAAATTTGGATCTCACCCTAGGAGATTTTTGGACCACGGAGGTTAGGTAAAAATTAAATGAGTGGAACTAACCACATCAAGGCATGCTTGAAGTTGGACTGCGTCGTTACTGTTGTAGGAAGATATCTTGGTTCCAGATAGTCCACTAGCTAACGCAATGACAGTATCATTGGTGCTTGTATCTCCATCTACCTGCAACGAGAAAACACCTTAAGTGGGTTATCATACTACAAAAGAAAGATGCAGCAGGTTGATTACACTACGTTAGGTGTTAGTCGCACTAAGTATGATATTTTGAGAAAAAGGGAAAATAGAAAGTTTACTTACTGTTATTTGGTTGAAGCTTCGGTTGACAGCAATTTGAACCATTTTTCTCCAAACATCACTGCTAACCATTGCATCGGTTGTTACTACCTGTTCCCGTATAAAACTCTTAGTAACATTACGTACTAGTAACAAACATCAGGAGTAACTTAAGAAGACATACTCCCAGCATGGTAGCCATATTTGGGTGGATCATCCCGGAACCTTTTGCCATTCCCCCAACTCTTATATTTGTCCCTCCAACCTGAGCAATCACCGGTTTAGTAAGGACCTGACTGATTTTTCAAAGTTGTTTTCATTTCCAATGTTGTTTACTTGGTAGTAATATGCAGAAGCTAGATCACAATTAAAGAATGTGACATGAGTTTACATTAAAGAGAGTAAATATACTTGGAAATTGTAATGCCAACGTTTTGGCATCGCTGATTATGCATAAAACAAAACTTCAAACAAAAGCAAGCAACATAAGAGTTGCTCCTGATTGGGTCAATGGTACAGTGTCTTTATCAAGACCCGTACAACACAAGCACTGAGCACATTAACAAAAACAATTCCAAAAAAAAGCAGATATCTCATGCATCAAGGATATAAATACTGGATACATTGAACACCTGAGACTGAATTGCCACACTCTTGCTAACGAGGTCGGTTGTTGTGATTGCCACTGCTGCAGCATTTGCCCTGCAGACCGAACGAAAATGGCACATCAGGGCGATGATTTTAAATTTTTTTAATCCCCATAGTTTCACAACAAAAAAGAATAGCATGTACTCAAAAAACAAGAGAGTTAGTTTACATCAAAGAGAATAAAGTACTTGGAAATTCGATGCCGAAAATAAATACAGTACATAAACATGACAGTATGTCATTTATATGGAGCTAAGTTTACAAGCATTAACATTTACCCATCAGTTGACGATGACAGTGAATTAACCAGTTTTGGAAGAGATTTTAGAAGTGCTTCCTGCATATGAGAATTAACGAATGAATCGTTTATACAACACTAAGAACATGTCAAGTTATATATCTGCCATAAAAATATCATGTAACATTTATTAGTCAATCTGTTAATATTCCAAGAAATACTGTGCAAATCAATATGATTAGAAATGAGCATAAGAAGGAAACAGAAATATGGTGGCTATATATTAACCTTCTTTATCCTTTGACCAATCACACCAGTGGATTCAATCAGCACTTCCTCTTGTCTCAAATGAAGCAGCTGCAGTACAAAAATTCATGTTGAACTTGATGATAAAAAAATCCAGCCTAAGCAAGAGTATCTATGAGATTCATGTGTTTGTCGCCCTCCACATACCTTAGCAAGGCTGCTGGAGCACTCTATTACATCTTGATATCCCGCATCACCCTGGACAGAATTGGAATGTATGTCATCTGTGCAAAACTTAACTGTAACAACATACTCGGAGAGTGATTTAACAAGCTACAAAGTTTGGAAGACAAAATAAATAGAAAATTGACTATAGGCATCGATAAATGTCCTACCGTTGCTGCATTGGCTTGACCAGCATTGATCAAAACTGCTCGTGCCTAGCAGAAAATCAAAAACACAAAAATGATATCAAACACAACAACAACAAATTTACAGTAATCCCAACATCATTAGCTAATAAGTAAAAGAAGCATTGAAACAAAGGACAGTCAAGCACACCATTTCTGAAGTCTTTAATACAGATTTGCAATACAATACCGGCGCAGCTGCTACCACATTCGTGGTAAACGATCCTGCAATTAATCAAACTTAAAAATCATTACAAAAATGAAAAATTACACAGAGTCAACTAGCTCAAGATGAGATTAATTACTCACCAGCAGAAGTGGCATCAACATCACAAGTGACAAGCGCAAGATCAGGCTTGTCCCCTTTGGCACGAAGACCGCCATACAATCCGGAAGCTTTGAATCCTTCTGCAGCTGTAACTCCGCCGGGAATCTACAGAATCATGAATAAAGTCACACGTCTTGATCAATATTAAAGAAACATGAAAACGAAATTGCACAGAAAAATGCAAAAAGTAAAACAAAAACAGCGTCGTGGAGAAGGTCAACCTGCTTCCAAGGTCCTTCCGGAAGAAAAATGGGGGCTGCCGGAATGTGAGCGGAGACTTCAATTGCAGACATGGAAATAGCGGGAATTTTGAAGTCCCGCCGAGACGAACCGAAACAAGGGATTGCTGAGAATTTGACGGAGACGGATTGAGGAGCGTAGAGATACATTTCGGCAGTAACACCTTGGAGTTGGATTTGAAAACGGTGGTTTTGGGGTTTTGCGGCCGTTAAACGTATTCTTTGGGCGGCCGAAAGTTTCAAACAGTATTGGGGTGGAGGTGAGAAGTAGAAAGTTTCAAAGGGTTAATACTTAGTACTCAATGGTGAGTACCCAAAAAACTGACTCTTTGAAGTGGCCCAATTAAAAGTTTACACCTGTTATGTCCAAACACTCCCAAACAGATTTTTTCAATATAACTATTATACAGGATGGTACATCTAATATTCTTATATAAATGATGGGTTATGTGTATTAAAAGCTTAATAACTTAAAAATTTTCCATCACTTGCATAAAAACACGTGATGTATCATTCGTATTCTCGTCACAACTAAAATTTTCTCCTAGATATGAAGAAATTTTTCATTGAGACGGAAACACACCATATGTTTTAATAAAAGTACAAAAAAGTTTTATTTTTTAAATTATTAATTTTTTCGTACATATATCGTACTATTTATATAATGATAAGTGGTGTATAAAGTTAAAATGAAAAATTTCTCCCACATATACTCGTACACAAACATCCCTCTTCTTCCTCACTGTCAACCCATCTCTTCTCCGTCCGCTCTGATCGTTTCTCTCCGACGACTCCAACCCTAATTCCTTTTATTTTCCAGCGACCACCTCTAATCCCTCGCTTCTCCGGCAACTGCCTCCGATTCTAATTTTTCCGGCAACTGCGAATAGACGGCCTCCCGCGATGGACGTTGTAGTTCCCCGCCGGCCTTAACCTGCTGCTCCCCGATGGACGCCCTTGATTTACTCAATCTTCTGTTGTGTGGTCATAATCCCGACCTTCAAGCCATGGTCAGAAAACTGCAGTGGTGGAGGCGTTGGGGTCCTACGGATGAAGAGGGGGATGTTTGGATGAGTTATTACTTATTACCGTTGTTTGGTTACATGTTTTATATAACTTAAACTTTAACAGATGTCTTATTTACACCACTTCAAAGAGTCGTGTTTGTGAACTCCACGGTGAGTACCCAAGTATTGTCCGTGTAAAGGTCTTGTCTTGCGTGTGAGTATTACCATCCATGCCACATATAACGAGTTCAAAGACAAGATAACAAATTTTTTTTCTTTTACTCTCTTAGTACTACAATTAATGGTAATGTTGACAAGTTTAAGGTTCGGTTTTTATGGAAGGTGAATTCAAACCAAATTATTCTGACTGATCTGTTGGGTGGCGCAGTCAAGTCTCTCACTCTGTTGGTATGAGTACATTATTGTACTAAAAAGAAGACAACTGACAATGTATGATTTAGTTAAATTACTATCTCAATGGTGCGTCAAATATAAATAAGTTCCTGCCATTTAAGTTCACTTTGCATTATAGAGTACAAAAACACATGTTTTGAAGTGATAGTGCAATTGTTCTTACAATCATTGTTTGTAACACTCATCACGTTAACATTGATTACTCAAGCAACATGCAGATTATTATAAGAAAACAACTATCCCATCACTCAAACTATCATATACTAACATTTCAGCACAAGCTCGCGCATCCGAGAGGTCATTTTTTGTGCACATGAGCTACACGCCCTTTAAAGATGGGTTTGGTTTAGAAATTTTTCTAATTGTTTAGCAGTGGTATTTCGTGAGAAATTGTTCATGAATTGTGCATGTGAGGGCTTTCTTAACATATTAGGCATTAAAATGTTCTTATGCTTTTCTTTTTCAATCATCTTCTTGAGATAATTTTTTTAACAGTTATGTTACAAACTATGACATGGTATCTAACTACCCAAGTAGTCAAGGTTTACTCTTTATCATGAAAAAAATAATCAACTCCGGTTTGTAAAGAAAAACACTCCTCAAAATCCATCTCGGTGGATATCTTCGTATGAAAACATTCTGTTTTGATAATTTGTCAAAGCTGAACAGTGGTGCAGCAAGATCACGGTGTTCCACCATTCGTGCCTAACAAATATCACCCCTAAGATTAAAAACTGAAAGAAAAAAAATCAAATTTTCGAAGTGCATGGCTTAACAGAATCAGTGTAAGTTTTTTTTTCTTCTTTTTCAAAAAGAAGACAACTAGTGGTAAATCATGGTTATCCATTCATTCCCGGCCCGGAGGGGCTATGGAGAATTTCATCCTGCCCGTGGCCATAGTCAAACAGACTTACCAGCTCGGAGCATCGAATTCGGGACCTCCCACATTTTTTTGTTTATTGGGGAGCCGCAGCCTGCCAACTTATCACTGAGCCACTTGCTGTGGTTTCGATGTAAGTTCCATAGGTAAAATGTGCCAGAAAGGTTAAAAGAAGGAAATTCAAAGCATGGATAACCGTATTTAAATAATTCAAGTGTTTCATATTTCTCAATACATATAACCAGAGTGGGATTAGTGTTGAAACTGCCCTCCTTTTCATCACAATGAGATTAAACCGAAGCAACTCATGCAGTCATCATCCACACCACCCAATCGTCTTGTTTGATCTGAAGCCGGTTTCCGAAGGGTCTTGCTGTGCTTGCGGTGGAGGAGCATATCTAGGCTCCCTAGGCTTGGCAGGGTCGACGAAAATAACCCACCCATCCAAGAACTTGGCATTCATTCCTTCTCTAGCTTTCTCAGCTTCTTCAACTGATGCGTATGTGATGAAACCGAACCCCTTTGATCTTTGAGACACCCTATCCATGACCACCTTAGCTACGTGGCCAACAAACGCAATGCGTTCGGGTTAAAGCATTGTAAGAAAGGTTGTTAGGACTTAGGAGAGCAAATGAACAAGCTAGAATCGACTTTTACCATCTACAATCTGCCCAAATGGGGAAAATGCCTCTCTGAGCTTTTCGTCTGTTGTTAATCTCGAAAGACCTGCTCATTGCAAATAACGAAACAACAGTAATGATTCAAGATTGAATATATTCGTGTCTTCAAGATTCAACAAATGGTAATGTAGTCTCCTCAGGAGCTCAACAGTTCTTCAGTAAACAGATGGCATATTTACAAGAGTTAAACACATTTGCAGCCATATTTGTTCTGTTTTCTTTTCGATAAATTAGTCGAAATATTCGAAAGTATTGGATTGAAGCTTTGTTATTAAATTTATATATAAAAAAAAAAAGAATCAAATAACAAAAAAATGAACACGGATTGAAGCACAAGGATATGCAATTACAAATTTACAAAAAAGGCCTAATCCTTTATAGGTCACAAACATACACTAAACTCTAAAGGAGCACCAAATTATATAAACTCGCATAATCTGGGTGGAAACCACAACCACTGATCCTAATGTGTCAATGTTTCATCGACATGTCGTCGATATTTAATTTCAGCAAGTGGGATCTGCTCAATTTAGCCAAGTTCCCAAAAAGATACAACCTTTGACAAAATAAGTGAAAAAGAAAGACTTTTCGAAACAAAGAAATGAAAAAAAAACATGGGTTTCTGCAGGATTCGATTGAATTTCGCAAAAAGGGAAGAACAGAAAGAAAATAACGAAGTGGGTGAGATCGACATGTACCGCTGATGAATAGCCTGGGGGATGTGAGAGTTGAATTGTGACGAATGGCGGCGAATTGGGAGTGGAGAGCGGAGGAAGATCCGCCGAGGACGCGTCGGAAGGTGGAGATGAACGCCATTTGAGGTGATCCGACTTCAATGGACAGTGTGGGATTTTGGGGGTTTAGGGTTTAATGAGCAGAGAGAAATATCAGGTTCGGGTCGGGTGGGAGCAGAGTTTCAGAAGCTTCTACACTTCGTTCAAAACCAATAGGTCCGACCGGGCTTGGCCCAATTGGGATTTTTCCACAAAAGTGAACGTCGCGACTCACAAATTTAATAAAGTTCCGATTACGTCCCCAATCACACATAGTGGAAGTTTAGAGTGTCGGATGGTCAGATGGTCAGATGGTTCGGTCGTCCTCACTTTAGAATTTCTCGACATAAAAGTTTATGGGAGTCTAATATTGGAGTCACCAATTACATTTTTAATTAGATTCATGGTTTTTTTTGGAATAAAGCCTAATCTAGCATCAAATAAATCTTAAATAATTTTAGAAAATATACACAAATAATACCGATCACTAGTTTTTAATAAAAATATAATTGGAAACACTAAATAAACAATAATTCTATATGAATCATGATTTATTGCCCTTTAATTGCTGTTTAATGTCCTTGAATTATTTATTTATTATATGTTTGTGACCGGTCCTATTTTTTGAGACGAAATGATAGCAACTTTATTGATGGGATTATAAAGAATTATTGTCTTGAAAAATATGGTTCTAAATAATATCACGAGACTCCTCAAATCAATACGAATCCAGATCTAAACAAGAGTCAATTTAGCCATTTTATGCACCACTAAATTAGTGGTTCTATGAATATGACAAACTCATGATTTATCCAAATTTTGCAAGCAAGCCCGAATGTCACCTGCCTCTAAACCCAGCCAAGAGCCTCCATCGCGGAGACTGCTCAAAGAGTTCACGGGAATTGGATCCCATCCGGATTCACTTTGAGAGGATCTTAAAAATTCTCACATCTTAACCATTCATCGTGTATCGTACGATCATAAAACATTTGACTTCTTTTATTTAAAATTAAATACAAATAGTATCTAATAAAAATCGACCGCACGATATATAATGAACGATTAACGGTTAAAATATGAAGATCCCTAGAATCCCCATAAAATGGATCCGGAGAGTAACTTTCAAGTACAATATTCGACCATCCCTTCTCGAAAGCCAGCTGCACATTTTCTAGCAGCATGGAACTCCACCACATCGAGCACTGTTACAGGTGGGATTTTCAGACAAAACCTCCAGCATAACTACCGGCTTTGCGACCAGTTTTATTCGAGAACATTTCACATATTCGTACTTTATGTTACATGAGTTACCGTCCATGGTGCTAAATCCAAAAGCGGTAGAAGCAAAGTGACGATTCAAAGTGAACCGAGAAAAATGTGAAACATTATCGTCATTCGGTGACCAAATAAAAATGTGGGATGCGTGCAGGTTAAAAGGTCAGCATGCACTTCTTTTTCTTCTCTTTTTACATACATTCTTCTTACTCATCTTCCTCCTTTTACTCTCGAATTCCAGTTTCTTCAATAATATTTTTCTTTAAAAAAAATCCTCAAACTGCTGCTTATTGGAGAGGTGAATCACTAGCGGGACCAAAAATAGCAGCAATATTACACGAGAATTGAAGCGCGAAAAAGAAAAAACTAACATGTAAAAGAAAAACTAAATCTAACTTCGAACATCACGGAAAATTGACAAGTTGTCAATCCGTCAACTTCACCACCTTTTCTAGCATTGACGTCCCCCTGAAAATTGTCAACTGCACTTCCCTCATGTATCTCGATAACTGGCAAATAAGAGAAGTTCAAGCGGTTAGGGATTGTTAACATTCACCAGCTGCTAACATCAAGAAGATTGAAAACAAGAACAGCCCGCCTTAAAATACCAAGTTAGAAAAATCATATTCTCTGTAACTGCGTACTATCTGCAGATAATATATGCAATTCAAGTAACTGTATTCACTTACTTGCTCGTCTCTCATCTTTCTAAATCCTAATTTCCTCGTCCAGATTGACTCAGCTTCCTCAGCCGCGGGGAGAACCAGTTTTTCCACTTTCAGAGAAATAAGTAGCCTCTCTATACATGAAAATAATGCTTGGAAACAACCCTACAAACACCCAAAAACAATGATGTCAAACTTCAAAAAACCTGTTAGTTTAATAGAAAAGGAAAACATTGAAGCATTATCAGATCACCAAAAGCAGATTCCAAAGCCAACTTACTTTTCCTTGATGTTCCCTACTAGTAGCAACAATAGGAAGCTCAGCAACCTCCCGACCAAAAACCCTAAGGAGACCAGCAGATACAACAACAGACCTGGACATAAACGAAAATTATTACTAGTGTAAAATGGTGTGACAAAATCATCAAGTACTAGAATTCGTACTAACACAGGAGGAGCAACGTACCCCACTATTAAAACTACACAGTACATGCCTCCAAACTCTTGACCTGAAATATTTCTCCTGAAAAATGCCGGAAAAAATAATTGATTCAATAATATTTTTGTGATAGAAATTATATTGGATTAACAAACGCTACATAAAAATACATAATTCCAAGAAGCAACAAATAACTAAAAAACAGCGGAACAAATTAAAAACCACCACTTACCCATATACCATAACAGGGATCAAGTCACGACCAGACTCTGCAACAATAGGGTCAAAGCACTCCTGCCAATTGAGCACAATCAATTTGAAGGTGACAACATCGATAACTATTCCATATAAATTTGTCCGCACAATCAATTTGAAGTGACAACGTATGAAAGATACACAATTGACAACTAAGAAGTGACGGAAAAATACATAAATAGGAAGCCTAATCTAGAACGCCAAGTGACATACGAGAGAAGCCATTCCCTCAATATATTCGTCCTGTATAAGCTTTTGATGACTGAAACATAACTTACCAGTTCTAAAAGTAAATTCTATTTCTTTGTGAATTTTAAACATACAATTGGGAAAGAATAAAACACCAAAGTCCAAGTTCAGTGCCATACGTTGAAAGGCATCAAATGAGCATGAAAGAATAAGGGTAACAATTCCAACGCACATATATGTACTTACTCGAAAAATAGCAGCAGCCCTTGAAAGGAAGGGTAGGTGTTCCGGATAGCGCTTCTTTCCACTGAAAACTCGCCATTGAACATCTGCCATTCCGTTAATAAATATACCTCTATCTGCATGCTTCCGGATTATTGTATCTGATAATGAAGCTGGAACACACTCTGCTTCACTGAGTACTAAATTCTGTAAAGCTGCATGAATCCTGTTACAGTCATCACAACAAAACCATTTATCTTTGGGGAGTGCCTGCAGTAAGACAGCAAAAAATATAAATTAGCATCCCAGAAATATAAAAAATTTAACTACCACAAGGTTCAGAACATACTTTTAAGTCACATAATCCACTGTTCCGTAAGCAGCCAACATGGAACTCCTTCTCACACTGAACAAGAATCAAGGGTAAGAATAAAACGATGATAACTAAAGAGAGAATTTTGACAACTCTCGTTGTATGTGATCAAAAGAATGAAAATGCAAGTCATACCTGATCACAGATTATAACAGTTCGTTCATCAAATAAAGCCACACTGAAATCATGGCTCCTAAAAATACAAAATAACATGTTAGCACCTATGAGTGATAACCAAATGGCAAAGATCAAGTGAAGAAATTATATCACAAGGGTCCTCAAGAGAAATTATATAAAAATATTGCAAAGAAATTGTGTAGAAACCAGGGTACCACATTTCCAACAAAACAGTTTGTCGCCATAAATGTTGACCATGATGTGAGAGACTCAAAAAATTTAACCAACTTAATTAAAACCTTCATTCACTTCAGGCTACTTAAAATGCATACAAGAAATTAATGGAATTAATACACAAGAGGAACCAACCTGCAAACAACGCAGCCACCAATTTCATACTCAGGTGCATTGAAGACCCGTGTCAACCGTATTACAATAGGTCTTCCAAAATTTGAAGATTCCCCAGCAGCAGCTTTTTTACAGGGTTCAAACTTATCTCTACAATCTGGACAATGCCAATCACCTTGAGGAACCCGTGGTAAATCCAAACAAGCTGCAATATAAACAAAGGTTAGACCCAAAATAAAATGAAACACCTAACAACTACTAACTTGATTGACTCATAGGGATATTTAAATTCTTAACAACCTGATCAATATATAAGATGACTTTGTTTCCCAACAAAAGAATTGAAATATCAGGTTTTTTTTTTTTTTTTTTTTAAGCATGAGTAATATTAGCTGTGCGGAGAATACATCCTATTATTCGATTGAGAAGACAGTGATGTGGAACAAAAAAAAGAAAATCATCAAACCATTAAATTGTTCGGTAATTTCAATTCAATAGCACTACAAAAGCATGAGGAGTGATGAGGAACAAAAATCATTCATCAAATCACTTAAATATTCAGTTAAACTGGGGAAAGAACAAAACGGAATGTATCAAATGTGATCTTAAAAGTTGATGAGCAAGCCTTAAGAACATAAAGCAAATGTATACATCCACAAACTAAAATCAAGTACCAAAAATTAGAAACAATATCAACCTGAATGATAAGCACAAGGGCATCCATCACAGAAAATCATATCCCCTGTATCATGTCCACATACAGCACACATATCATCATTGCCATCACTGCCACCAATTGTCAGGTTTTGGCCGTTGGCCAATGACATGGCTATATCGTGAAGCGTCAGTCCATTGGAAATATAGATGTGACGGTAGCTGCAAAATGAAATAAATTATCTACACATGACACACTGAACAACTAGAACAGCAGCCCGAGCTCTTTAAAAGCTACTCACGGTTGACGCCTTGCAGCCATTCCAGCATGAGCTTCAAACTGTGAAGGGCTTATCTGTTTTCACATAAAGAGTAAATTGACATGAGAAAAAAGGGAAGGAGGGGCTAGACCAATATACAGGACTCAAATTTGATGTGGTCTGTGCAGCTCAGTATTTACCTCTCTGTCACAGCAATTACAGACTATCCCATTTCCCTGCTTATAGCCGCTAAGTAATCTCTGGGAATACCACAACATCAAATCATGTAAAGATCAGAAGTTACAGGCATCCACACGTGAAAACAGCATTAACATGATAATTATATCCATAAATTACCTGCCCCTTGACATAGTATGCCAATTTAGCTCCATCTGGAAGTCCATTTGGCATAAATAATAACCGGTGGAGATCATTATCCCTGTCAACCAGGAATAATTTCCCAATCAAACAAAACTCACCCATTATTGCGCAGCATCTTATAAAAAACTCCTCACAGAGAATCACAATAGGAAAAGGAGGGGAAGGGATGATGCAAACCTTTTCCTATTGCCACCTTCTGCAGTTTTCTTCTGGTACATAGCTGCATACGGATTGTGGAAGCTTGGTCTGCACAGCAGATACAGTTTCAGTTTTCTCATGCAAAAGACTGTATGTTTCAGTTTTCCATTAGCCAGTAAATAAATGAAGTTAAATCACCGTTAAATTAATCTAACAAATTTAATGATGGACATATATTCAGTGTATAGAAAACAAAATTACGATGTGTTATGTTTATTACCTTGGAATTGGATGACGCAATTTAGGAAGCTTCACACGATGTCTTTTCTCCACTTCAGCCATTCCATCGCTTCGATTAAGAGTTTCTGCAGAATGTTTTATATATCGAAAAAGGAACATTGGGGTCTTAATAATACATTAACGTAATTTATATATCAGCTGGACACAATTTTGTTTCCTTTCCTCAATCACTTTTCCCTTATAGCATTTTCGGTCTTCCAACATAAGCATTTTAAAACGCAAAATTTATCAAATTGCAATATCTTTAGCCAACTTTCATCTGACTACATTACACTACCCTCAAAATCTCAACAAGCACATGACAAATGAGCTTCATGGATGGCAGATTTTCTAGATCTGAGATATATGGTATTTGTCCTAGGAAGTTAAGAAAAATGATGGTGAAATTAAAAATGAATTGGAATCAAGCTCAAACCAAGCAACGAAGTTTTCTTCTGACAAGCCCTCCCCTTCCTTCCTCGTTCACTTTCCTTCCCATCCCCCTTCAATTCCATAAAATAGTTCCCATCCAAAACAAATATACACATCATAATCATCATCTTGTTGGGCCTACTTGGGATCCTACCTAAGTAGGTCTGGATATCGTCTGATGTTATTTGGGCTACCGCACGTCCATAATCCTATGTGTGTTAGAGTCAAGTATTGGCTCGATTATTACGGGAAGGGCTTTTTTAAAACGCTTATTGAGAAAAGAACAATTTCGGAAAGGGCAAAAAAAAAAAACCTAAGAAACTTGTTGCTATTACCTTTCCAAACCCGGAAGGACTCTTCATTGAGAGCAGAACCAGCAATATCCTTTATCACTTCATCCAGACTGCTTAGCGGAGCAGTCTTCAGTTCTTGTATGATGCTATAAACTGCCCTCCCATTCTCCATGTATATGTGATTATTAGGATGCCGCGTCTTGACACCAGCATGCTGCTCAAACTCATATGCACTGAGTACCTGCTCATTGCATTGAATCAATCAGCCATATAAGCAATATTGCACTTAAACTCCAAAACAAAGTAAACAGTGAGTATACTTACCCTGGTGAAATTGCATGATGAGCAGCCGCACAAATAACCACCGCCACTTACAATTCCATGTAGCTCTATCTGCCAAAATTTATATTAGAACCTCCATGGAAAATAGATATTCATACTGCAAGCACATATTATATCCAACCGAGAAGAATATATATGTTCGATAAAATACCTTCGCCGGGGAGGAAACATACTTCACTCGAGCTCCATCAAGAATACCAGTAGACAATAGCTTCTTAACATTTGAAGGATAGCTGCTCGGAACTACATAGTTAGAACTTTCCAACTTTGAGTTAAGCGCACAAGGATGAAAGTTGCCAGTTTCAGCACATTGCCTCCAGTATGAACTAGCTGGAAACTCCCTACTTGTACTAGGCATCGCTTGAAAGTCCATTCCAGGCTCCTCGTGAGAACCTCCATGTGAAAAGTCTTGATTACTCGCAGTCTGATTCTCCTTTTTCTTACTGAACTTGAACGTAATCTTGCGAATCCCAGATGAACTGGCTAGCTTAGGAATTTCTACCACAACACGAGAGGTCAATACATCACCATTCGTCTCGTTCTCAATTTGACAATTATCATTCTCGGTACACTGTCCATTGCTCAAGTTCTCTGCACCTGAATTCCCCGAACATGAGGACTCAACTTCACCACACTCCGTTCCGTTACTATTTGCCAATTCCGCAGGCTGGCTAGTAATGTCCTGAAAAATGGAGCCATTCTCTTTCGGAGACACAACGGGGTTTGATACTTCCGATCTTATATCCTCATTGGAATGCTCCTTCACTTGCTTCTTGTTTGGAAACCCGTCTGCCCCGCTATCATCTTCGAGACACTCGTGCTCTCGCTTCAGTTCAGTTCTCGGGAAGTTTTCTGTTTCCACTTCCCCATCTCTCGATTTCCCCACACAAATTGCCTCTTCTCCCATCCAACTACAACTCCACTCCAAAATCCAAATTCGACAAATCCCCAAAAACCAACACTTAGAGACTGAGACAGCATTCAATCAGAAACCCAATTTCAAAAACGAATCGTCATTCGCCGAGCTCGAATCACAAATCACAGCTTTTCCCTCAGAATTCGAAAACAGTTTTTATCCAAAAAACAAGTAATCGAATCAAAACCAAACCACAAAAAATGAAAACAAAAACATTGGAACCATCAATTTAGGAAAAGATTCGAAAATAGTTAAATTTAATACCTTGTGGTACTCCAAATCTGAAAAATTCGAATCCAACAGGACTTGGAAATCCGATAGAAGAAAGAGGAGCTTGGAGATCTAAAGCGTTTTCGAATCGAATTCGGAAAGATGCGGATCTGAAATTCAAAAAAAAAAAAATCTGGGTTGTTTGTGTGGAGTGAGATATCTGAGAGGAAATAGCGCGGGATGCGAAAAGGGTTTTAAGAAAAGTGTGAAAACATGCAGAGCGGCAAAAATACCGAAATTAAAAGCTTGTCTCGCGCCCCAGATTTAACTTTTGAGGGACAGATAATCGGATATAGTCCACAAGAGACAAATATTATTATTTCTCTTTTTCTTTAAATAAAATAAAATAGAAATAAATTAAAAAATGGTGATGAATGAGTTTCTTTGGAATTATCGAGAAGGCAGGTGGATAAAGCATACGGGCCCACCTTTTGGGCGAACCGGATGGCGCCGCGTGGCGTACAACCATCGGGACCCATAGAAACATTGTGAAGTGTCAAGTCGATGACACGTGTGATGGGATTTGGAACCTCGAGTCCCGCGCCTTTTCAATTTTTTCGGGAATTTTGTAACCTTAAGAGTTTGGTGCGCGGAATGAGGATCCACTCCGATCCTCTTTGTAAGATCTTAGGAATTTTTAAATTGTGTTCATTTATCGTATATTGTGTAATCAGAAATTAAATATAAATAATACTGGCGAAAACTGATCACACGATATACGATGAACAAACGATTTGAAGATCCCCAAGATCCTTATAAAGAGAACCCTCTTAGTGGTGTGCGGAAGCAACCATGAGTGCGGCGTTTGATTGAATTTGAGCCGTGGGATGGTCTAGGTGGAGGCATTTGAGGGAGTGTAAAAAGTTTTTGAGGGGTCGAAACACCTAACTACAGTTTATGGTATTCATGTTCACTTGTAAATGAAGAGTTTCGATTCTCGTTAAACGGAAATTTGAACTACATTATTGCTAACTCATTATGAGGTTAAGGCTAAGCCCACCTCTCTCCCACTCAGTGTTAATAACATTGTTTGTTTAAAAAAAATAGGGTGGTTCGGTATGGCATCCTAAACCGGAAATGGATCCCGAATCCCAAACTAAAAATTTTCGAGACGGGAATTTGAAGATCAATCTTGAACCAAAATTTTTGGGTTGTGGGCTAAAATTTGGGCTTTTGGCCTAAAATTTTGTTACCCAATTTCATATCAATTGAAATTTAGGTTTTTTTACCTTATACCAACTTGAAAATTCATATTAATTCAATTACCAATTCATTCATACCAAGTCAAATTGACGTTCCAAAGTTTCAAACTACTTAGTTTCATATTTCTATTTCTAACATAGTCTACTATCAAACTACTTAAATTCAACATTTAACATGCATGCAACCAATATATATATATATATATATATATATATATATTTGGTTTAGATTCCTGAACCATTGAATATGTATTTCCGATTCTCATACCGAAAGGTTCGGGATTTGTTCAATATAGAATCTCGAAAGTTTCAGTGTTATCAGTTTAGAAATTTTTCGATATGAGATCAAGATTTTTTTTATTTGGTTTGGAATTGTCGAGAAAATTTTCCAAGCCTGCACCTAATTGTCATAAAAAAAGAGAAACACATAATTGTCCCCAATGATGGATTATTTTTTTCTTTTCTTAAAAGGAAGATAAAGATGAAGAAAATAGAGTGTGGGCTAGGTGCATAATACCTTAGTTAAGTGGGCTTTGGAAACTGGACCGATACATGATACCTAAGTGGGCCTCTTTCCTTTTAAGATGGCTTGGCTGAGGACCATGTTGATTTTTTAAGGAATTCTTTTGTTCTTTTTCCGTTTCTAGAAAACTTGCTAATTGCAAGTGAACATTTATTACAGTGGTGGAAAGGTGTTGAGTCTTTACATGTACATGACGGCATGGGTTCAAATTCCGTCAGTAACTAATCTAACTTATAATCTAACAAAATCTATCGTTTTACAAAAAAACATAAAAAATAAAAAAGGCCAATTCTTTTATTCTCTAGTTTTCTTTTTCAATATTTCACACTTTGGGACATATTGATCATATATTGATGATACAACAATGACATGATGACAAGACAACGATGATATAATAACAACATAATAAACATTAAACATTGTTCATTTCTTTAATAAATGTCAAAATATCTTTATTGCAACTAGTGGGCCCTTTTTTATACAAGCAATAATTGAAATTCAGAGATGAAGAAATTTCGGAGATGGACCTTGTTGTGAATTGCATGCATTTTTCAGTGGTCACCACTCAATGCCTGTATAGTTTCTTCTTGCTTTGTTGCAAAAAAAAAAAAAAAAAAAAAAAAAAGCGCACTTGCATATCATATGCATGTTGTGAAACTAATTGCTGAAAGAGAGAATATAGATACGACCAGAACGAGAAAAGAGAAAGAGGATAAGGGATTGAGGAGTTCTATGTGTAATTCTTCATGTTTAGTCTGTTTATCTATACTAATCATGGTGGGCTTTACTTGCTTTATAAGTAATACAAGTCATACAAGGAAAAAATCTTCCAAATTCTATAAGATTCGTACTTCTAGTTTACACTATCATACTAGTTATAAAATATTATTCACAACATTCCCCCTTAAGTGTGTACAACTTAAGAAGTAGTCGCATCAAGTCTTCATGATCAGGAGATGATAGTTGTTGTCATAAGTTCTCGTTCGGCACATGCAATGCATACACAAGTGTCAAAGTAAAGGTGCATATAAGGAGATAATCTCACTAAAACCTAGTCATGGTAAATCTAGTGGGGCAAACCCGTTAGCTAAGGATAAAATTGAGTTAATGCAATGTTGATACGTGACATCTTTAAGATACCTCAACTAGTAGAAAACGCACACAAAGGTATGACCAACCCGACATAGGTGCCTTGTAAAACCTCGTCAGGTTAGCAAAAACCCAATGAAAAAAATACTCATGATCTAAAGGAAAATAGTACGTTAAGGTCAAGTGAGTATACTTCATGATACTCTCATTGAGTTTGACAAAAATCTCCTTGAGAACTACAAGCATTGAAAATGAGATAGGACACGCAATCTAATCCTTGGTAAGCTTCTGGCAGGTAGACAACGGTAGCAACTTTGTGAAGAGATTGACGATGTAAATCAAACATGCTTGACTTCAATCTTCTGATGCTTTGTTGATGAGGGAAGAAAAACTTTGGCGCACGCAATATGCTTGACATTGACTTCTTAAATAGTCTGGTCGATATAAGCGGTGTAGTCTTCATAGATCATTATTGAAACTTAATGATGGATGAATGCATGCAGGATAGTGCTTCGAATGATTCTCATGTACATCGTCATGTAAGGAAACGAACTGGCCATGGTTCGAAGATGTTACAACTAAGGTTTATTGTGGGAACTTCCAAGATATTGTGGTATTCTTTAATAGTAATGACATAACCATCTTGGAATGTACCTTGTGCAGGTTGATAAGGAATTAGCATCAACATAACAAACAAGGCAAACATCATTCCGAAGATCAAGGGTAGATCCATTGGGGATGCAAAGGGATAAGTCTACATCCCTAGTACTTCGAGAGTAGTGGAAAAACTTATTTAATTAATGCCAATTTAGTGGTAGCATGTAGGTGCGGAGCTGCTACAAATGAGATGTTCTGCCTAATGCAACGAGCTAAGTTTGATAAAGCGTAAGTTGAACCTAGATATGGAACTTCATATTCCAAAACCTCATCAAGGGTCTCATTTGCACCTAGCCTATGGATGGTGATGGGTGTACCAAAAAAAAAAAAACACCTTATAGGTGCAGTTCAACTAGTTGACTAGAATATGTCATAACAATGCTCGAACTTTAGGTCAAAGGATATTAATATAACAAAAAAATAATTGAATTTATACATAAGCATTTGCCACATATTGAGAAAGAACAATAAGCTCCATGTACGAAAAAGTTAGTGAATATTTAAAAACACATAAATCATATGAATTTCCCATGTTATGAAACTTCCAAGATTACGTTGATTGAAAAATTGTGAATTTGAAAAATTGTGATCCAATCCAATTCGATTCCAAAATTTTAAAACAAGAATTGAAAACGTTATTTCCAATACAATCCGTCCAAAAAACACCCCTATCCTTTATTATCTTTTTCTTTTTCTCCTCCTTCCAAGTTGGGGCAAAACACATGCAGTGTGTGAATGAGCTTTTAGTTGAATAATTTACGCATACCAAGTTAGGGACAAACCGAATTAAAATACAACTTGTACTATAATGTTATACTACTAATTACATTGAGGACTTTTGATAACAAACAAGCCCAAGGGTTATATATGTAAGAATATGAACATGAGATTGGATGTTTTGACAGTGAATGGTTAAGTCCAATTGGAATAGGAAAGCCTTATGGTGTACAAATCCTTGTTTGTGATGGATTCTGTTATAACATTTAAACTGATATGGATTGGAAAACAGAAGTTGTTTTCTATAAGGATTGTAATAGGGAATCCTTATCAAGTTATAAGAAGGATATATATATATATATATATATATATATATATATATATATGTGTGTGTGTGTGTGTGTGTGTGTGTGTGTGTGTGTGTGTGTGTGTTGTAACCTTTGCTCTCACAAATGTATATGCTCAATTCAGAACCAAGTCCTATTCTTGGTAAGAGCTTAAAACAATCTAACAGAAAAGAGAAGGATTGCAGTGCGTTGAGATTGGATAGCAACAACTATGGCGTCTTCCAATGGAGGTTCATCAAGTTAGTGGAATTGTAGAGTTCTATATATAAGAGGTTTCACGCTTTCTTGATTGTGATTACTGCAACTTAATCTTGTTCTTGGCAATATAAATTTAACATGTGGTATCAGAGCCTATGGTTTTAAGTTCTTAAATTCAATCAAGCAAAGTCGATTGAAACATAAAAAATTAAAAAATTAAAAAAAATTAAAAAATAAAAACTCTGAAAATCCCCATTATCAGGTTTCGAAGTTGGTCCTAGGTCTCATGATAGTTTTCCTCACTAGACGGTGTGTTTTTAATAAAATAAGGTTGTTTAAAATTTTGACCGTTAGAAAACATTCAACAATGGGGGCTCTTCTGGTCCTGGAAAGAATTCTAAATTCACTAAGAATTCTAACAAATTCAATATATCTGCTAAAGTAAATGACTCCCCTAGAAAATCTATCAAATTTAAGGCTAAACCTAAAGATGTGTCTAAACTTAAGTGTTTTTGGCGCAAGAATAAAGGGCATTTGAAAGTTAATTGTGAAATTTTTAAAGATTATGTAAAGAGCAAAGAAAAAAAACAGGTACTTGTCTGTGTTGAGTCAAATATTTGTGAAGTATCTGTTGATTCTTGGTGGTTTGATACTGGATGCTCAGTACACATAACTAACTCTTTGAAGGGTTTTCAAAAACAAAAGGGAATTGGAAATGCCTTGTATAATGTTTGTTGGGGAAGGGACTAAGTTTGCAATGCATTCCATTGGGATAGTGAACTTGAAACTGACTTTTGGTTTTGTTTTACGATTGAAACATGTGCTCTATGTGCCTAAAATGAGAAGAAACTTGATTTCTGCTTCTAAGATAGTAAAATATGGTCATGCATTCTCTGCTGATGATGTATGTTTGAAAATCTTTAAGAAAAACTGTTTTGATGAAATTTTGGGAACTGCTCTCTTGTCTAAAAATCTCTGGTGTTTAGAGTGTCTAGTTAAGTATGTTGATCACTCGGTTTTAAATGTCAGTTCAAAGAGAATGCTAGAACATGATACATCTTATATTCTTTGGCATAAGAGGTTAGGGCACATCTCTAAAGAAAGAATTCTTCAACTCTCCAAAGCTGAGTTAATTCCAAAATTAGATTATGCCATTGCAACAGAATGTGTTGACTGCTTATAGGGTAAAATGACCAACTTTAGGAAATTAGATGCCAAAAGAAGTCAAGGGTTACTTGAAATCATACACACTGATATATGTGGTCCTTTTCCAATCAAAACAATATGTGGAAACAAGTATTTTGTTAACTTTATAGATGATTTTTCTAGACTAGGATACACTTTTCTTATTAGTGAAAAATCTGATGCCCTTACATGCTTTATAATTTACAAAACTGAGGTTGAAAAACAGTTAGGTAAAGTTATTAAAATTGTTAGATCGGATAGGGGAGAAGAATACTTTGGTAGGTACACTGAATCAGGGCAACAAAAGGGACCATTTGCACTTTATTTGGAGCAAAATGACATTATAGCTCAATATACAACACCTGGGGCACCTCAACAAAATGGAGTCTGGGAGAGGAGGAATATGACTCTTGTTGGTATAGTGAGAAGCATGATGTCAAAATTCAAGTTTCCTGGTTTCTTGTGGGGAGAAGCCTTGAATAGAATTCCAAGCAAGTCTGTTACCTCGACACCTTTTGAGTTATGGTATGGTAGCGCACCTAATTTTTAATATTTTCATGTTTGGGGTTGCAAAGCAGAAGCTAGGTTCTATAATCTTAATGAAAGGAAATAAGATTCAAGGACACAATCTTGTTACTTCATAGGCTACCCTGAAAAGTCGAAAGGTTATAGGTTCTATGTTCCCCAAAATCACACTCGGATCCAAAAGACACATAATGCAGCATTCTTGGAGGATCAAGATGTTGCAGACCTATCAAGGGAAAATTTTATTTTTGAAGAGATGGATCAGGGTTTTGATAACACTCCATAACCAAATTACAGTCAAGTACTTTCATTCCCTCAATTAAGGTCAGCTGCAATAGAAAATTCAAATTGGTTTCTGGCACTGACAACATCATGGAGATAGATCCAGTTCCACCATCATCTGAAAATATTACTGAATCACATCAGCAAGTGACAAATGAAATGGCATCTCATTTGGAACCAAGGAAGTCAACCAGAGTTAGGAAATCTACAGCTGTGAGTGATTATGTTTACTTACAATAAGCAAATTTTAACATTGGTGATATTGATGACCTTCTTTCATACTCTCAGGCCATGGAAAGTTCACAGTCAACTCTATGGCAGAATGCAATGAATGATGAGCTAGATTCGATGTACAAAAACAATGTTTGGACACTTGTGGAGTCTAGCCCTCAAATCAAGCCTATAGGTTACAAGTGGGTGTACAAAACCAAAAGAGATGCTCTTGGTTGAATTGAGAGGTACAAAGCTAGATTAGTTGCACAAGGCTTCACTCAAAGAGAAGATATTGATTACAGCGATACTTTTTCCCCAGTGTCTTCTAAAGATTCAATGCGAGTTGTCATGGCTTTGGTTACATATTTTGACTTAGAGCTGCATCAAATGGATGTGAAAACATATTTCTCAATGGGGACTTAGAAGAGTGTTTTTACTTGAAACAATCAACTGGATTTGTTGAAAGGGGGAAGGAAAACATGGTTTGCAAGCTTGATACGTCCATATATGGGTTAAAACATGCCTCTAGACAGTGGTATTTAAAGTTTAATCAGATTGTTTCTTCTCAGGGATTTAACGAAAACAAATTGGATGATTGCATTTACATTAAGTTTTCTAGTTCACAATTTATCCTTTTGGTGCTTTATGTTGATGATATTCTTCTAGCAAGTTCTTGTCCTCAATTGTTACAAAGAACTAAAATAGTGCTCAGTGAAAGTTTTGATATGAAAGATCCAAGAGAGGCACACTATGTGTTGGGGATTGAGATTGTACGTGATAGAAAGAAGAGATTGCTTGGTTTATCACAAGGGTTACATTGATAGAGTATTGCACCGATTTAATATGGAAAGTTGTAATTGTGGACAAGTTCCAGTTAACAAGGGGGACAAGTTCTTGAAGGAATCAATGCCTGAAGACTGATTTGGAGATTAAGAAAATGCAATCTAAGCCCTATGCTTCTCTGGTGGGAAGCCTTATGTATGCAACCATATGCACACGACCAGATATTGCTTTTATAGTAGGACTGATGGGAAGGTTTCAAGCAAATCTAGGAGAAGTACATTGGATATCTGCTAAAAAGGTTCTGAGATATTTGCAAAGAACCAAGAACTTCATGTTGGTTTATGGCAAAAGTGAAACTTTGGAACTTAAGGGATATACTGACTCAGATTTAGCTAGTGATGTGGATGATAGAAAGTCAACATGTGGTTATATTTTCATGCTAAATGGTGGTGCAATTTCTTGGAAAAGTGCTAAGCAAACTGTTATTGCTACATCCACTATAGAGGCTGAATTTGTAGCTTGCTTCGAAGGAATGAAACAGGTTGTTTGGTTGAAGAACTTCGTGTCAGATTTAAAGGTTGTGAGTTCAATTCAAAAGTCTGTGAGAATGTTTTGTGCCAATAATTCAGCCGTGTTCTTTGCTAAGAATAATAAGAGAACTTTTGCTTCGGTTGATGGATGTAAAGTTCCTTAAAGTCAGAGAACAAGTGAAGAAATGAATGATTGAAGTAGAACACATTAGCACTACTATGATGATTGCTGCCTTGACTAAAGCATTGCTCTTGGAGAGTTTCAGAAACATGTGTCTCGGATGGGAGTGTTGGAGAGTCTTGATCAGTGGGAGTAATTGGTTATGCTTCAAGAACTTAAAAGGTTCAGCTATGTGAGTGACTTAATCTGGAACTGTGCTTGCAATCTTGGTTTGCGTTGATTAATTTATGTCTAAGTTAGTTCAATTTTTATGTCTTCAATAACACTCGTTACTTTAGTTTTAAAGTTTTTGTAGTTTTGGATGGTGGACTTGTTGTGGAGAAAGATTTGTTTGATGCTTTGGAAACAGTTTGGCTGTTTTAAACTTATGGTTAATAAATCGTTTTCAGTCAATGTTATGTTGCTTTTCTATGGGATCAGTTTTTTGTTTTGGTCTTTTTGAAAAGTGGGAGCATATTATGTGATTGACTGTTTATATCAGTTTAAGTTGTGAGTCATGTTTGCAATTTGGATGTGTGTGAACTTAGAATCAATACTGCATTTTGGTTGTGGTCTATGGTTCTCAGTTTCCATGTTTTGAAGTGCAATAGAGTGATGGTTATAACATTAGATTCTCAGGTGAGGCTATGTGATCACTTCTTATAAATTGGAGAAGTTCATGTCTGCAATTGATCTCGTGTTCAAGTGGGAGAATGTAAGAATATGAACATGAGATTGGATGTTTTGACAGTGAATGGTTAAGTCCAAGTGGAATAGGAAAGCCTTATGAGAGTTGTGTACAAATCCTTTGTTTGTGATGGATTCTGTTATAACATTTAAATTGATATGGATTGGAAAACGTAAGTTGTTTTCTATAAGGATTGTAATAGGGAATCCTTATCAAGTTATAAGAAGGATATATATGTGTATGTATGTATGTATGTATGTAAATATATATATATATATATATATGTTTTGTAACCTCTGCTCTCGCAGATATATATGCTCAATTCAGAACCAAGTCCTATTCTTGGTAAGAGCTTAAAACAATCTGATAGAGAGGAGAAGGATTGCAGCGCGCTGAGATTGGATAGCGATAGCTATGGCGTCTTCCAATGGAGGTTCATCAAGTTAGTGGAATTGTAGAGTTCTATATATAAGAGGTTTCATGCTTTCTTGATTGTGATTACTGCAACTTAATCTTGTTCTTGGTAATGTAAGTTTAACAATATAAACAAACCTAGTTAAATTACAGACACTATCTTAAGTACATCGAGGACTTTTGTGCCCGATACCAAAGCTTTGTCTCCTGTAGTTATCGTAGAACATATACGAAACCTAACTTTTAATTTAGCCTTGCTTAGGCATGAAATGTGGGACCATCTTTCCTAAACCTTTAAACCGTAATTTGAAGATGATGGACTGATGGTAGCGTCGGCAAATTTCTAGTGGCTGAGGAGAACTTTTGTGATCTAATTGTGACGTTATTACGTAGTGTTACAATTAAATATGATTATTACACATATTTAATTTGTTAATACTAATAAAAAAAAAAAGAAAAAAAAAAAGCACTCATCATTCAGTACTCATATTACAAATTACAGAACATAAATTAATATCACCTATCATGCTGGTTAGGTATAGCAAATTAATGTAAAACATGATAGAAAGACATGAACACATAACAATTTACAACGTGATTTTGGATGGGGCTTGGAGTTTATATATTTGGGTACGACATGAATATCACATGACACAAAAACACACGACAACCAACATGCATACTGCTAAGATGGTACCATAGTAGCACTAACTCAAAATGGGATGAGAATCATTTTTTTTTTTTAACTCGTCACGCAATTTAAAGTCTCTCACTTATAAGTAAAGATAAATATCACACACATTTTTACTTCTCACACATCCCTTTCAATTTTCAATTGTCGGAACGGATAAATTGAAAAAGATCAATGATCAAAAATTAAAAAGGATGTGTGAGGTAAAAATAAGTGTGTGAATAACATTATCTTATCTTGATAGTGTAGTACTAAGGACAAACAAGAATCGAACTAGCAATTAATAAGATTAAATGATTTCCATAACTCACCAGATTCACTTAACCTAAGAAGGTGATTAGGTGCAGCGAACTTGCTTGCCTTAAAATGGAAAAAAGAAAAAAAAAAAACTCGATCTGAAACAGATGAGGACGACGGTTCCAAGTACCATATGCACGAACCCATGACCCGGAACCTCAATAATATTTTTCATCATATCACATGGATTCCCAGCAAATATTTTATCTAGGAGTCCAATCAAAGTTTTGTTAATTATTTTTTTCTAATTATTTGTCAATTTTTTTTTTTGGGCAAGTATGTAAGACATTTTTTAAGTCTCGGGATTTAAAGTCTAATATTATAATTTAAATGCGATCAAACAAATTATAATTTAATACCATGTTACACAAGTTTCATAAATCGAAAGCATTTTCTAGTTATAACATTATGTGTATTTTAATTTGATTACAATTTTTTTAATGTGGGGACTTGTAGCTTCAATAGCAATGAGCCATTAACGAAGTTTTTTTAATGCGAGATGTAAGTGTTGGTCGATCAGGGACAATACAAGATCGATCTAAATATTCGCATTCTGCAATTATCTCGTAAGATTTATTTTTCATTGGAGAATTTGTCTTTCTTCTTTAATTGTAAATCATAATCTGACAAGAATACTAATTGTTTATACGCATCAATCAATTTCTGTAATTTCTTTTTGACAAATGATTTTATCTACACTAAAGGGGTGGAGGAGTGAGCTAAGTCTCACAATTGGCTAACAATAATGTGGTTCAAATTCGCATTTGGCAAAAATCGAACCTAAGACCTCTAACTTACAAGTGAAGAGAAATACCAGTAGATTGTAATACTAAGTGGCTAGTTCTGTTATTTCCAAATTAATAACATATGTAAATCCCCTCGCAGATGCTAAAATCCTTTACTTATCAGTAATTTTGATATAATAAAGAGTGTAGTTAAATACAAATTTATGGACTATATATGAATACCCGTTCACACCTTCATGAGATACTTTTGGTGGTAAAAAACTTCAACCAAGTCTGCCCAAATAATTTGTTAATATTCAATGAAGTCTCACTTGTGTCATTAGTGCTACGGTTTAATAGTGTATTTTTTACTTGCAAGTAAGATGTTTTAGGTTTAACTTTCGTGGATGGTGAATTCGATACCAAATTACTATGACAACTCATTATGCTGCTTAACCAAAATTCTCCTCCCGTTACTGTAAAATGATTATTTATCCTTTAATCCCACAATATATTTTTTTGGAGGATTATGCTCTCCATATTTTTTGCAGTGATAATATCATTATTTATCCTTTAATCCAACAATATTTCTTATTATATTTTAGCCTTTATCGAGGAGATGTGCAATATGCTTGCAAGACCTCCACCATGAATGGCTGTGGTTTGCATTGGTTATTAACTTAATAATCTCATCTTTCCACTCTCTCTATTACACGGCATATTCATTTGAAAAAAGAAATCAATTACCTTTATTTGCTAATCAATTAAAAGCATATGACTTTCTATGTTATCTAACTCCATTAGAGCACTATGAATTTAAGTATTATGTCATTAAATTATAGGGTTTTTATTACAAATGGTTCTTGAAATTGACCCACACCATTAAGATGATACCTAAAATTGAAAATCGATCAATGTAATCCCTGAAAATAGGTGTTGCAAATCAATCTGATCATTCCGTCACAATTCTATAAAAAATTATGTTATGTGCTGATGTGACACATAATAGGTCCGACAAGTCTTTTTTTTATATATATATAATCACAAATAGTCCCTAAAATTGACTTGCACCATCAAGATGGTCCTTGAAATTGACTCACACCATCAAAATGGTCCCTAAAATTGAAAATCAATCAATATAGTTCATGAAAATAGATGTCTCAAATCAATGTGGTCATTCCGTCGTAATTATGTCAAAAAATTTGTTATGTGCTGATATGACACATAAATGAGCTCATAAGTCTAACTAAATAAAAAATAAATTAGAAATATGTGTAATAATTTAATAATTAATTAAAAAAGTTGTCAACCCAGAAACTTAGTCCTGCAATCACCTCTGATCCCAACCCATACTCTTCTACCTCCATCTATGGTAGCGTTCGTCGCCTTTTCTCTAGAAAAAAAAAAATTCTTAAGACACTCATTTTCACACCCTTCGACACCATTCATCGAATTGGACCAGGATCGAGATCACCTTTTGTGACAGCTTGGATTGGTGACCACTTTTGTGACTCTACGGTCAATATTTGGACGATTGACAACCTCACAACCTTAACCTTGGAGAGCTTGTTAGGTGCTCCCTTAATGATCTTGGTGATGCAGAGAATGGCAAACTCTGTCTTGAGATAATCTCATAGTGCAAAAAAGTTTTTTGACAACTTTTTCAATTAATTATTGAACCCACATTAACACATAATAGAATTTTTGACAGAATTGTGATGGGATGACACATTGATTTGCAACACCTGTTTTCAGGGACTACGTTGATTGTTTTTCAATTTCAGGATCATCTTGATGGTGTGGATCAATTTCAGGGACCATCTTGATGGTGTGAGTCAATTTCAAGGATGATTTGTGATAAAAACTCTTATATCTTGTGGACCCTATTTATGTGACACATTAACACATAATAGAAGTGTTGACCCTAAAAATTATAAAGCCTACATGATGCGCAAGCTGAGTAACTAATAAGCTAACTACGTCCTTCGGTTGAATGCGGGGCGTGCCAACTCGTTGGCCAAGCTCGGCCGAGGAGTAAAATTTGTTGATGTTACGTTAAGCGCGTTGTTGACTTCTTTATCTTGCAACGGCGGCTGAGGAAGGAACAAATCTCGGCCTTTGGATTCTTGAGCCTGAAGACAAGGCTGCTAGTTCTGCGAAGTTCACTAATCGTCGGCGTTGATTTCGGT